CGATATTTATTGCAATATCGTGGGAAAGCTAATGATTTGGTGGGGAGTCTCACGATTAGGGATGTAACAATATCCAAATCTCTCAGTACAATGTTTTCATGATATACATCTCACGGTACAATATTTATTCTGATATTTTGTGGAGGCTAAACAACTAAAACTGTTAATATGCTACTTTTTCCTCTTAAAATGACGTAATCTAAAGAACTACAACTTAAAAGTGCTTAGAACTGTCATTTCTTCTTGTAGTCTGCACTGAAATGGAGCAAAGGAACATGGTTTATGTAGTTCACCGTGTCTTTTTTAGCTATTGCTGCACCATAACTCTTAATTAAAGCAAAGAGACTTGTAATTCGATATATTGTGATGGTCCATGATATTATTGTGAGACCTCTGACGATACGATATCATGATATTTTGGTTATTGTTACATCCCTAGTGACAGACAAAACTTACACAATTAAACAAAATTGACTCTTGTAAACTTTGAGTCGTGTTAGAAAGTTGTTCATCAAAAACATACCAGGAGTTGTGTTTTGTTTCATTCACGCATGTTTGAGTTACTCTTTATTATTAGTCTGTATAAATCTCCAAAGTTCAAAATGCTCTGTTCCACCTTGTGATGTCATGAAGCGGTAGTTTTCAAGTTACCAGTTAACGTTCAACTTGGTAATAGAGATTGGCAATTCCAGGGCTGAAATGATCAAAATAAGTCTAGTTAAGTCGTTGGAGTTTAAAAACACAGTGGAGCACTTCCTGTATAACATGAAAACCCTGACTTCAGAAGTAACCTTAACAAGTCCAAACCCAGGATTAAACTGAGTCCTAAACCAGGACAAAACAAGGACTACATCAGAGGTACTAATCCAGGACTAAACTAGATAAAACTAGAACTAAACCAGAACTAAACCAGGTTTAAACTAGGACTACATCAGAGGTACTAAACCAGGACTAAAATAGATTTAAACTAGAACTAAACCAGAACTAAGCCAGTACTAAATTAGAACTACATCAGAGGTACTAAACCAGGACTAAACTAGATCCAAACTAGAACTAAACCAGGACTAAACTATAACTACATCAGAGGTATTAAACCAGGACTAAACTAGATCCAAACTAGAACTAAACCAGAACTAAACCAGGAGTAAACTAGGACTACATCAGAGATACTAAACTAAACCAGGAGTAAACTAGGACTACATCAGAGATACTAAACCAGGACTAACCTAGATCCAAACTAGAACTAAACCAGAACTAAAAAAGGACTAAACCATTACCAAATCAGGACTAAACTAGGACTACATCAGAGGTACTAAACCAGGGCTAAACAAACACTAAACAAAGTCTACAGTTAAGACCAGAACTAGACGAGGACCGTGACTTTACATCTAGAGAAGTAGCCTTAACAAGTCCAAACCTAGGACTAAACCGGGTCTTAAACCAGGTCTAAACAATGACATCACAAGGTGGATCAAAGCATTTTCAGTCTGCAAGAAGAACTCAGCCTAAATATGCAGTGTTTGTGCGTTAAACATATGTGAATGAAAGAAAACAGAACTCCTTGTATGTTTGAGACGAGAAAACATTAAAACATAGATCTGAAGGTAGCGTAACATGAGCCCTTTAAAGAGCACATTAGGAGGCAAATTACGACCCTGGAAAGAAAGAGGGAGATGACAGGGCTGCAGAAGTATGCTCCTGTAAACAGTATTTCACAAAAGGTTAGATCTGTCAGTGGAGAGAAGATCTGAGCGGTGCTGTCTCATTTTGATGATGCAGTAGACTTGATGTTGGGAGATATTTGGACGGACCAGTGTGTTCTCAAATGAGTCATTTAAACAGTCTTCTCCTCGAGCTGAGATAATTGCACCAAGAACACAAGCCAAACTCAGACAATAACTTAGAAGAGGCTTGGACAGCTTTACGTAATTGGGAATACTAAGGAATGGACTCGATACTCTGATAATACCGATTCTGATACCACAATGATAACTAAAAAACAGGCCTTCTTTAGACAACAGAAGTGATTTTCAACATTAAATCGTAGTACTTTTTCCGTGGTGTAATAGAACGAAGTAAAAGTAGTAAAGTACTGCACTTAAGGAAAAATCTGTACTTTCCTTGAGTAAATTTTTTAAATGGATACGTTTTACTTTTACTTCACTACATTATGAGTAGACAGCTGTACTTTCTCTACTACTACTCCATTACGTTTTTGAACTGGACTCAAAAGTAAAAGTATTTTTTTAGTTTGAGACTTGCTGAAAAGGCTGACGGGTGTATTTTTAACACAGTCATAGTTTGAGCAAAAATATACAAATTAAAAACACTAGAAAAAAAAAAAAACCAAATCACTACATTTGGAGCTTTTTTAGATCTCAAAATCTGCGTGAAATATTTTTACTTTTTCTTCTTTAAGTACATGTTTAAACAGGAACATTAATTCTGTTACTTAAGTAGATTTTTTCATGTGATACTTTTACTTTTATTTGAGTACTTGTACTTCTAAACTTTTTCTGATACAGCTCAAGATCAATCTAAAGTGCATCATTGCTGTCCTGTGACTTTTTGAGTATCAGTACCAGCTCAAATAAGTATTTAGTTTCGATACTAGTTTCAGCACCAATTAGTATCTGATTTTCAGTACTTTTGACAATGTAGGATTAAATCAGGACAAACCAACTCTGATTCTGGGCTAAGTGAGATTCTAGGCTAAGTCAAGACCAGAACCAAAACATAACCTAGTCTAAACACGTCGAGGAAAGAGAAACAGACTAAACCAGGTCCAAACAAAGTCTATAATAGGACAAAACTAGGATGAAGAATAAATCAAGTGCAAAACTGAACTAAATTAGGACGGACCAGGTCTAAGCCAAGACTGGATCATGGGGACAATCAAGGTCCACAGCTGGACTAAACCAAATCATCTCCAAAGCAGAAGCACAAAAAGACAGAATTAACCAGGTCCAAACTAGAACTAAACCAGGACTAAACCAGACTAGGACTTGACTTGTCAGGACCCAATACTAGGACTTCACCTTTTCCAACCAAAACTACTACTTTACGACTTCAGGTTAACTAACCAGGTTAAACCAGGACTAAACCAAGACTAAACCAGGACTAAACACTGCAAATTTCTCTGATCTGGCCAAGATTTTAAAACTTATATCAGGTTATTCATCTTGTTTTTAGATTTATTATCGAATTACTAGTTCTAAGACTGCTTACTTCTAGACTAGAGCTTGTTTATTTTAAGATAACTTGTCAAGTAAAATGATCTTGCTGCATGGGCAGATAATTTCATTACTTTTAAGTCATTTTCTGATAGATTTAAATGTTTATATCTTAAGTTTTGGTCAAGCTTTTTTTTTTTTGCAGTGAACAATGACTAAACCAAAACTAAACAAAGTCCACAGTAGGAGTAAACAAGGACAAGGACCCATTTTCAAAGAAACCATGACTAACCAGGACTAAACTAGGACTAAACCACGGTAAGACCAGAACTAGGTGAGGACTTTCCAACCAAAACCATGACTTTACAACTATAAAAGTAGCTTTAACAAGCCCAAACCCAGGACTAAACTGGGTTCAAAACCAGAACAAAACACCAGGCTTAAACACGGACTAATCCTGATCTAAACCAGAACTAAAGCAGGACTAAACGAATACTACATCAGGGGTGCTCATCCAGGACTAAACAAGGTCCACAGTGAGACATTACTGTTTTACTTTGTCTCCATTTAGATTTTTATAATAACTTTAGAGTTTTTGTTTTTGTTTTTATGTTTATGTTTAAATGGTTGTATATATGGATGAAACAAGGGATGGGGTGGGGGGTTGCCTTGATTTTTTGCTCTTGATTTTAATTATTGTATTGTAATTTTTCTGTTGCATGTGAAGCACTTTGTGCTACATTTTAAATGTATGAAAAGTGCATACAAATAAAGTTTGATTGATTGATTGATTGAAAAACTAGATGAGGACTTCCCAACCAAAACTTGGATTCACAAGTGAAACCCAGGCCTAAACTAGGTCCTAAACCAGGACTAAACAAGGTTCACAGTAAGACCAGAACAAGATGAAGACTTCCCAACCAAAACCGTGACTTCAGAATTAACCTTAACAAGTCCAAAGCCAGGACTAAACTGGGTCCTAAACCAGAACTACACCAGGACTGAAGTAGGACTACATCAGGGGTCCAAAACCAGGGCTAAACAAACAATAAACAAGGTCCACAGTAAGACCAGAACTAGATGTGGACTTCCCATCTAAAACTATGACTTTGTATCTATAGAAGTAGCCTTAACAAGTCCAAACCCAGGACTAAACTGGGTCCTAAACCAGGACTAAATAAGGACTAAACCAGGAATAAACAAGGAATAAACCAGGACTAAACCAACACTAAACAAGGTCCACAGTAAGACCAGAACTAGACAAGGACTTCCCAACCAAAATTAAGTCTATATCTACTGTAGAGAAGTAGCTTTAAATAACTGTAACCCAGGACTAAACTAGGACTAAACAAGGGCTAAACCAGGACTAAACCAGATCCAAACTAGAACTAAACCAGAACTAAACCAGGACCAAACTAGGACTACGTCAGAGGTCCTAAACCAGGACTAAACAAACACTAAACAAGGTGCACAATAAGACCAGAACTAGAGGAGGACTTCCCAACCAAAACCAAGACTAAAGACTGCATCTACTGTAGAAATAGAGTTAATAAGAGTAACCCCGGACTAACCCAGGACTAACCCAGGACTAATTCAGGACTAAATCAGGACTAAACCAGGACTGAACAAGATACAGAGCAGCACTAAACCAGGACTAACATGCAAAACCTCCAAAACTTGCAGCCTATACAGTAAAGACACCCAACATGAACTTTTTGCAGCTCTCCACTCTATTCAGGAGCATCTGTGCAAAAGCCAGCAGCTCCTCTTGACAATCACAGAGCCAATCTAAAGAAATCCAGAGTTTATGGATGTTTTTTCACTCACTCAGTCGTAACTTGAGCCCGAGCCAGCTCCGTTGCGGTGACTTGTGCAGTACTGCGTTCATGCTCCACTTGCTTGGCACCATCTAAACATGGAAACCAGTCTGCAAAACGCACCGTCCCACGCCGACAAAGTAGCTCCTCTGCCCGGGTATTCTCTGCTCCTGTCCCCGGTGTTGCAGTAGTAGTAGTTGTTGTAGTAGTAGCAGCGGACCTCACTGCGAATATTCAATCAACACATTAAAACCACTTTGTCCGTGCAGTAGAGTCTTTTTTTGCATTGCATTTAGGAATAAAAATAACCGTATAGTGAAAAATAAGCATCCCGCAATAAGTCAAACCTGTTGCAGCGCGTAAGGACGTAAAGAGTGCACGTATTCGGTTGACTCTTTGTTAGATAAACGCTGCGAACAGTTTCTTTTGGTGGTATAAAGTGCCCGGGCGATCATACGTGGGTGATTTCTTAGTTTTTCCTGTAAAATAATGCTTTTAAAGGTGTTCCGTAAAGCAGAGGCTGATCGTCTCGTCTCATTCATTCAGACTGACTAGCACACAACAAAGTAAAGGGATAATGTGGTTTGTGTGGACGCATGCGCCGGGCGGCCGCTAGAGGCGCTGTAAACATCACCACCGCAGTGTATCAGGAGGAAAGTTTGATGTTCTTTGTATGTGGTGTTTGTGGTGCTTCTCAAGATGTGGTACGTTTACAGTCCAATGTATTCATGTTTAAGTCTTTGAAAAACAAAAGGCATGAATTGTTTAGGCCCAGTGGTGGAACGGAATGAAGTAAAAGTGGTAAAGTACTGTACTTAAGTATAGACATCTAAAAATCTAACATCTAAAATTTTTACTTAAGTACATTTTAAGGTGGACACATTTTTACTTTATCTGTACTTTTTACTCCACAATTAAAAAAAAATAATAATAAAAATATATATATATATTTTTTTTTTATTAAAAGGCTAAGGCATTTATTTTTTAACACATTTGAGCAAATAGAAACATCCAAACAAAAACAGCTAAGCCTATATAAAGGGACCAAGTCCACTTAGTATGCTTTATAGTTCAAAAATATCAATTAAAAATCTCTTGTCTCTTGAACTGTCACTGTTATAGTTTTTTTTTTTTTTTTATTGTTGTTGTTTTTTGTTTTTTTTGTTGTTGTGTTACCTGCCAAGGGACTACAGATGGAAATGATCATTTTTGCTATAATCTGTCATATTTACAGTGCAGTGTTATAGATGTTCATTAATATGCACTGTCCCTATTAAATAAATAAAATAAAATCTTCAAAAACAACATACATTCCTATTGTGAGCTCTGGATGCTTCTCCACAGATCTGAACTAAGGTATCACCTGCTTGTTTCCATGAAGATAAATGTTTAATGCCATACTGTGGAACATTCTGGCAGAGCATTTCTGCACTTCAAAGGTGGATGGTAGCAACATCATGTCTGGGCAAAAATTAGTTATTGTCATTTTAGTAGTATTTGAGACCTCCTTTATCATGTGAATAAACATTGTGAAAAATATTAAGCTCAAAATTGACCTTTGACCCTACAGAAACTGCCAAATAAGGGTCAAAGGTCCATTTTGAGCTCAATATTTTTCACATACAAATATTTCTTCATTATAGCAACAAGTTGTCAAATTTTGGGAGTCCTATCTATTAAAATTTTGTCTGGCCAAAACAGAAACTTTGAAGTCAGTTTTCTTAGTTTCACACTGTGTTAGGTGAGTTAAGCTCTTTTGTCTGTGGAGGGCAGATTTACATCTCCCTGCATGGAGATAAGCAGGTGGTGGACCCTGCACGAGAAAAGACATTTATGGGCAAAGCAGAACATTGTGGAGCAGTAAGAGTGAGGTGAATCTGACCTATAAGGGGTCATTGAAATGCATGCCTTTTAAAATGTATTTTAACGGTGTGTCATGTAACTTTTCTGGTAGCAAGTCCATCACCTGCTTGTCCCCTCAGAGTTACTGCTTTTCTTGGAATGTTCAAAGTATGGCATTAAATGATCTCCATGGACCCCAAACCTAAGTAACTCTTTAGCTCTTGACTTCAAAATTCAATTGAACTGTGTGAAATGAACTGTACGTATAGTGAGTGTGTTGGTGTTAAGTACTTTTGTGTGATTGTTGCTCTACTTTTCTCTGTCCTGTAGATGATTTGACATCAACCTGAGGCCGAGAGACAGAAGATGGAAATGATCCACACTGGCTATAATCTTTACATATTTACATTTTAAATGTCCATTAATATGTTCTGTCCCTTTACAAATAAATAAATAAGAAATAAGAACAGGTCACATCTGTGGTGAGGCAACACTGCTCCCAGAAAAAATACATGTTTTTCAAGTTTTTGAGCCATAAAAACACCCGTAATTCAATAAACTAAAGATACTACAAAACATTCCTGACAAAGGAATATCATCTTCACGAAGACAAAAAGCGACTGACGTCCTCCTGAGAAATTACATAGTGCACTTTTAAAGGAACAATGTATATTCAGAACGCTCCCATTCTACCTGCATGTTTGTGGTTGGCTAGTGTTCCTGGCTCTGCGTCTCTATGGGAAAGCATGCGAGCTGACAAAGCCAAAACAATGACAGTGGCAAAATGTGAGCGTTTGTGAGTCCCTCCTCCCTCCCCCCTCCCTCTCTCCCCCCTCCATAAAAAACAGAGTCAACAAAGGCACCTAAAGGGCCACAGAGCCGTGTTTCCACAGTCCACTTTAACAAATGAGCACTTCTCTCACGCTTTACAACCAGGTCAGTCATTCTGTCCCGGGTCATTCACTGTCCAGACTCCAGACCGAGCTGCAGGCCACTACAAGTCTCCCCGCCCTGTTTTGTTAAACTATAGTAAAAGCATATGGTACAAAAAGGGTTTAAAGGTCCCATATTACGCACAATTGACTTCTGTAACCTTTAAGTCACGTTAGAATGTTGTTAGCTCCTCAAAAACAGACCTGGAGTTGTGTTTTGTTTCATTTATAGACGTTTGAGTGATCCTTCATTATTAGTCTGTCTACATTTCCAAAGCTCCAGATGCTCTGTTCCACATTGTGATGTCATGAAGCAGTAGTTTTCAAATTAACAGCTAACCTTTACCTTTAATTTAGAAGAGATTGGCATTTCTTGGGTTGAAATCATCCATATGATTCTAGTGAAGGTATATGGAGTTGGACAGTGTTTTCTGTTTGAGAGAAGAACTCAGCCTAAATACGCAGGGTTTGTGTGTTAAACATGTGTGTATGAACAAAACACAACTCCAGGTATGTTTGTAATGAGAAAACATTATAACATAGATCAGAAAATAGCCTAATATGGGCCCTGTAAGAGGTAAAAGTTGGCAACGTAAAAGTGAAGAGCACTCAACTGAAAACAAATTAGAATGAAGTGAATGTTTTGGTCTTAGCTGACTCATCTTTGGCAAAGAATATCATGATTAAAAGTGCACTGTGTAACTTTTCTGGTGGAGGGTTTGCGTTCTGCTTGTCTCCATGATGATGTTATGGCTTTGTCTGGGATGTTCCACAGTATGGCATTAAGCAAATATATCATGTATTTGATTAATTAGGTGTTTATATTTCTCGCATTCTTACTGTGAGTGGGAATCACTTCTCCACAGCTCTGACCTGTAACTGGGCCTGGTGATGTGGCCTGCTTGTCTCCACAGAAATAGTTAAATTAAATGCCATACTTTAGAACATTTCAGGGAAAAACAACATGGAGTCAAGCAGGTGATGGACCCTGTACCAGAAAAGCTACACAGTGCAACTTTAATTATGAATCTGGTAGATGTTGATATAGATACTGTTATAATATTAGAAACATATTGTTTATAGAGTCAAAAAAATATTGGGAAAGGTACTAGTAGTTTGTGATTTAATAATATGCCTTGAAATATAGGCTGGGATTACAGCCATGGAGCTGAAAATCACTTTTAGATCAACTCAAATATAACACTGCCCTCTGCTGGTGAAATGACAGATCAGAGCAACAAAACAAAGACTTTTAGAGAAGAATGTTACTAGAGATAGGCAAATATATCAGTTGGCCAGTATTTGCACTTTTCAGCTCACTGACTATCAGTAGATTTTATCAGCCATCAATTTCTCTGCGAAAAACAACAAATACAAAAAGTATTCTAAATGTACACTATTGTTAAAGAAAGAGAGCTGCAGTAAATATCAGAATGAAACACTTGAGAACATAGAAGTTATGTAATCAGCTTTCAACAGCTCAAATCATATAGCCAAAAAAATAACAAAACATTTCCCAGCAGTGCAAAGAAAATGTACACATTATAAATACTGACCCCCAAAACATATTTTCCCATCTATCATATATTAAGTGAAAAGTCGTGACAGGGCTACTTGTCACTACTATCCTCAAATAGCCAAACTGGATATGTCCTGCTCAGAGAATCAAGGACAGTAGTTTTGGATAGTTGGATAGAATTGGGGAATGAATCCAATTAATTTGATTCATTTGGATTTTTAATAATCGACATTATGAAAATTTGCAAAATCGTGAAATCTAGGACTATTCTGATACAAGTTTACTCCTGACTTTATTTGGTTGTTGTGCAATTACAATTAGATATCTATACAATTGTAACTGAAGGCAGTTTATAATTTCTTAAACATTAGCATATGTTCAAAATGAAAATGTAAAGAGCTTCTGCCATTTGAAAGACTAGCAGTCCCTGACTGGACTGTGATTCCAACTGATAAAAATCTAAATTGTGATCATCCAGTGTGTGTAAAAAAAACCCCCAAAAAAAAAAAAACCCCATGATATATATTTTTGACCATATTGCCCACCTCTATTGGATCCTATGCAGATTGAACTAGCAACTCTTCAGTGTGCAGTGACTGCACTGTACTGCACTGTACTGCACTGTACTGCACTGCACTGTACTGCACTGTACACAAAACTAGTGGTTAAACAAGTAAAATACTGGATACTTGAAACTTGAACTTTTATTGGAGAGTGTAAACCTTAACAGAGTAACAGGTCAAGTACTGGAATGTCATCTACAAAGAAGTGAAACAAAACACTTTGTCTTTGTCAGATTTTAGGATAACAAAGTCTGTAGAAGCACTTCTGTTGGGATCATGTCCAGAGCACCAAAACATTTCCAATATTAAAGTCCGTTAAAAGGAAATTGCTGGTAAGAGACTTCAGTACTGTGTGCTCTGATGTGCTGTTGTGCTTTGTCCAAGTGGTAAAGGTAAGGTATGTTTATTTGTCCCCTGCATTTGACCCATATTGTCCTCTGCATTTGTCCCACCCTCCAATGTTGCTTGGGAGCAGTGGACGACCATAGTGCAGCACCGCGGGACCCTTCTTCAGATCTTGAGCCAAGATACAAATCCTAATGGAGAGCCGAGGCCTGTTGTAGATTAATGACATTAGAGTCCCATATGGCCTGCTCTCAACATTCCCTTGTAGAATCTTAGTTTTCCGGCTCCAGTCAGATCAAAACTGTAGTTAGAAGTGACGTATGGTATGTCCTCATCACAGTCCTGCAAAAGAGAACAGAGAGACACATTTAAAGAGGAAATATAAGGCTATTGTACAATATAGTTAGAATCTATGACACCAGTGGATCAATATGTTGGACATTTGTAAATAGAACTATAGCAACACTTTCTGGAGGTGTCACTTGCACGATTTCAGAAAATAAAATCATACTTTCTCTCAAACACATTCTCCATGGAGAATTTCTGGTTTAAAACTCATGGTACTAAACAGACTTATGCTACACTGTGGAATGTTTGAGGAAACATCTCCATGGCGACAAGAAGGGGGCAGACCATCCACTAGAAAAGTTACATTGCCCCTTTAAGTCCCACAGCAGTTCCTATAGTGTGTGTAGTCTGACCTGTGTTGTGACGATGCAGGAGGGCAGTGAAATGGCTCCAAGAAGAAGACAGTTGACGTTTCTGAGGATGGACGGGTCGACTGGAGTTAACAAATAATACAAACCTCTAATCACGTCAATTCCTCGGAGAATACCTTCAAACCATACAAAAGGAAATTACAAATCAAACATTTTCCTGGGATCTTTTGAGGCACTTGAGGATCATAATTAACTGAAAAAAAAAACATTCTACCATCTGAATCGACCCTGGCACTTACCAAATCCCACACAGGGGCACAGAGGAGCTTGGGGCAGTAGCACCGGGCCGCCTCTGCTGGTGACTTTCTCTCCCACACAGCACAGCGCCACCAGGCTGGCATTAGCGGCGTAGAACATGTGACTGGGTATCACTTCACAGTGAAGTATGCCCAAAGCAACCGCACCATGTGGCACCTGAGGATTTAAAAACAAACTCTAGTAAAAAAATCCATTCTGGCATTGGCTTTACTTTATACTAGTGGTATTCATGTCAAAAATGTCTAATGCCTCAGATCTTAAAGATAATTACAGTTGATTCTGAAAGTTACCCTAATTAAAACAATGACTATCCTAAAACAAACAAAAAACAAACAATTGTACCTGGTATGGAGTAAGACTGTGCAGCGGTCTGACTGGTCCAGGGTCAGGAGACTGGAGCTGACTCAGATAAGCCAATAAAGTCAACTCTCTGAGTTCATTAGAGCGCTGGTGTTTCCTACAAAATTTTAAATAAACACAGATTAGAATAGATTGTGAATTAAACTGCAACTTTCCTACACTCAGTGACATTGTTCATTCTCTACAACATAAAATAACTATCATATAGCATGGCACTAACGAAAAACTACTTAACAGATTCAAAACATTAGGGCTAAAAAGGCAAATGGAACTACATAGAGCATGATCATTTGTCAAGTCTGAGTCCAGTCTACACTAAGAATCACACTGGAACATGACATATTCATATTCATTCTATTTAAGGGGTTGTCAAGGCATTTTCAGAGAAAAAGGAAAATCTGTGTACAGTTTACAATCACAATAAATATCATATCGCATATCATATCGGATTTGTATATTACTACTCCTGGCATCATTTTTAACAGCCTATTTTTTTCATTTGCGCAACTCTGTCAAAAATTATTATTAGGTACTATTTTATAGTAACCTTAACTAGCCTTAATCAAGCATGTAGACTTAATTCATAATGTACAAATAGTCTATTAAGAATGATTCAGGCTTAGTAAGTAATTAAAGGGTTAGGAGTTAAGGTTATAGATTAGGTTAGGTTGCTTTATTCGTACCCGTAGGTAAATTTGTTTTGCAGATTTGAGAGGCTGGTCCCACATTTCACATTTCATTCATCCACATTACGTACAATAAATACATAAAAAACACAATTACAGAATAAAGTGTTACAGTGCTCCAGTGCAGAATGGTTTTGTTCCATAAATAATTAGTTAAATTCATCCATCATGCTTGACTAAAAACACAATAAATATTAAATATATAAAAAAAAATGTTTTAAAACTGATAAATAAATAACAATTTATTCATAAGTACGATAGTAGCTGGAACAGCTGGCTCCTTTTAAAACTAGATCTAGATCTTGGGACTAAAAGCCTTTGACCAGAGGGAAGCAGCTGAAATGCTGAGTTTAATGGATCTTTAGTTTTAAAATACTCTGGAACATCCTCTATAACTGTCTTGAGTACAGTGAGTCCAGGCTGCTCTGAGGATGGCCAATCACATCTCATTTAACCAACTGATTCAGGGAGGTAAAATGATTTTAATTAAGTTCTAACTACATATACTAAAAATAAATCTATTTGTTTATTTAGCTATATTAAGGCTAATTAAGTGTAGTTATTGTTACAATTATTATATTTTTAAATAATACCCAAAAGAATTAGGCAAAAGTAAAAACTTAAAAGCATACCCCCTCAAGTTGTATAAATAAAAAAGACATTCCCTCTGGTGGCACTTTTTGGTCTTTGTAATAACTGAGAACCTGAGTGAGTGCAAAAATAAGACAACATGATTCTTACGCTTTGCCTTGTGTTCCCACTCCCTCAAACTCAGATTGCACAGGCAGGTGGATAAACGTTTTGGGCAGGTTGGAGCTCTCTGTGAACTCGTCCAGGGCAGACTGAGCGGGAGGGTGGGTCTGATAGCCCTGTGTGCTCCTCAGGTACTCTGGTGTAAGACAGGGGCACTGATGGGTTCCTCCATGACCCAACTGCACCACATGGGAAACGGGGAAGAAGCGAAGCATGTCCACAAGCAACTGGAACCCAAAACCTGCACACAAGAAATAAGAATGAATATTAGTACAGGAATGAGAGGGTGCAGATGATAGAGGTCTGAGATCAAATGTGGTGTATTTGTACAGAATTCCTGGTTTAAATGCTTAAATAATGAGTTTAATCCAAGATTATTTGCGCACACATGAACAAAACAATACTACATTTATATTAGAATATTAACATTTATGAAAACACAACAAAATATCATGATTAAGGTTAACTGCCTCATTAATGAATACTTAAAATATTTGATAATCATTAGTTGGACCACAAAGCCATGTGCTGGAAAATTAGGTTTTATCCCAAAGGCAGTATTGTTATTGAAAAATAAGGATTCTGTGACATTTGAAGGTTCATTATATAACTTCACTGTGTCCATGAAGATAATATTGCCTTGCCTGGAATGTTCCATAGTACAGCATTATATTTTGTCCATCTCACATACTGCAGATCATTCCTGGTTAGCAAAACAATGTGGCAAACCCTTCACCAGAAAAAGCTGCGCAGTGGACATTCAGAGAGAAATAATCAGTAGCTAACTATCAAAAACAAATGCAACCTAATCAACTGTTACAAGAATGAATTATTGTTTTCTCCTCCCAGCCCTAAAAACAAATCATTTAACACGTATCCTTTATCAGATGCCCCTAACCCACCTTTGACCCAGCCCATGGTGTTGATAATGAGAGGACCCTCTCCACTTTGAGTCCGTCTGTGCCATAGAGACTTGAGCGCCTCCAGGTAGCGGTCCAGGTCCGACTCACAGGATGACTGCCCGTAGTAGATCATGTGCTCTGGGTTGCGCTGGTGTGTGAACGGAGGACCTACAAAACATAAGCATGAATTAAGGAAGTCATGTATTTATTTTATAAACAACATTTTGGGGACTTTTTCCCATTAAAACAATATTATGGCAACGGTCATAATTTTTCATCATTCTGAAATCCATGGCCAGCAGTTAAATCTCAACCAGGAGCAGATACCTACCAAAACAAGTCCTAAACAAGAACTACGGTAATCAAAGGACATACGTGTGCATACAGTTTGATAATTTGATAAGGCTCATTCCTCATCCCAGTTTCAAAGCCGCTGAAGACAGTAGTGTCACTGTTACATAATATTTTTGAGCATGAATCATGCTTTAATAGTCCAGGTGGTCAGTTCGTATTTTGCAGATTTTGTCCAAAACACAAAACATTGCTCTTTTCTGCGCCTTGCGTCTGACCTCCAAAATACAGCTTGTACAACACTTGGCCCACTTTGAGTCAACAAGTCCTAATCCTGATCCCTCCATCTTCACTTGTGTACCTTGTAAAAGTGTTTCATAATTCACCATACCCAAAAGTGGTTCTGTAACGGTTGTCAAACATAAACAGCCAGCTGGGGTGAATTCTGTTTGTCCAAGGTCTGCCTCCAAATACGCCACACTCCCAGTGCTGCAAACACACAGATGTTTGTCAGAACTTCGAGAAATATAGATCTAAAGTCATATACTTCTTGTCAACTCATCAATATTCAAATTACAGCCAAACAAACTGTAATTCATAACAACAACTTACTGATTTAATAAAGTATTGATGAGAATTCGGATAAATGTCGACTTGCCCACGTTTTTGGCTCCACAAACCAGGATAACAGTGCCATCCATATCCGCTAGAAAAGAAAATTATATAATGAGAACAAAAATATTGAAATTAAAATAACAAAGTAACTTCCTAATGACGCACCTTTACAAGCATTGACAAGAGTGTTTAGCACATTCTTGATGCTCTGGGAGAATTTGATGCCTTCTATGTTACTTGAAAGAGGGATTATACCAAGACCATTCAGTGGAGTGTCTAAAACAGCTGACAGAAGCTCATTCTGTAAGACAAAAATTTAAATGGGATTAAAAATGTATAACTAATGAGTTAACTCTTAGTAACTGTCAGAAAAGCCGTAAATAGAACTGCATACCACTGGAGGGCTGAATAATTCACTAAGGGCTGGGAAACTGGACAGAAATCTCGTCAGGGTTGACTCCATTGGCTCCAGTAAAATGATGGAAGAGTCTCGAATCACTTTTCCAGCCAGCTTCTTTCTAGATCCTTAAAAAGAAAACAAGAATCCCAGTCATTTCCAAAACATGATGCAATATCAATAGACAGAACCAATAAAATGTGTTGTAACTGGCTAAATTTAACATTAAAGAACAAATAATATTATAAACAAGAACTGAAAAAACAAAATAAAACTCATGTTTTTATGAGGCAACAATGTTGTAACATGGTTAAAAGCTCAAAAAAGTACATTTTGTATAATATGTGTTCTTTAATAATAATTTATTTTAGAAAAATCCGAAATTGCTTGTTATTTGTTGTATTTTCAGAGTCTGTATAGTTTATTTTTGATTATGAATATCAAAATACAATTCTAATTATTTTAGTTGATTAGTTGTGATCATTCTGATTAATTGCAGTCTCATAAAAGTAAATTTTTTTTGTGTTTACCTGACGTGAGATAGTCCCTGAGGACGTCTGCGAGGTGGGCGGAGTCTTCACTAAAGTGTGTGTTTTCGGTCTCCATGGCTCTGACGGAGATGGGGCTGTGTGAGGCGGGAGAGAACAGAGGGTACGGCTGCTGGCCCTCCTCTATAGTGAAGCCCATCACCTCCACACGGCCGTACAGGCACGTCAGAAAACACTTACCACGGAAACACAGGGTCTGAGGAGAGATCAGAGTCACCAAAACACCGTGAAATTATAATAGTGAATGGTAAATGGCACTCAAAGAGCTTTACAACAAAGAACCACTCACCCATTCACTCACACATTCATACACCAGTGTACACTGACACTGGGGGCAAAGTGGGTTAAGTGTCTTGCCCAAGGACCCAACAACACCATTCATCTGTGGGAACTCAGTCAATCATGTTTATGTCAAAAGCAGGATTCGAACTGCCAACCTTCAGATCAGTGGGAAAACACTCTACCAACAAAACTACTGTTGCCTGTAGTAGATGTGGTAGTAGTAGAAGTAAACAGGTCATGTTCACTGTGATGGTACTTACAAATAGTAATAGAGTGCAGGAAACAATATTACTCTACAGATTGATTTTTTTAATGAATAAAAAAGAAAAACAGAGTCATTACTTGGGCTGTCAGGCGATGACAATAAACTATGTATACATTTTTGTTGTTATAATTTTACTTATATTTTAAACTCCTGAACACCGTGTAGAGCCATCACTTAGAATTAGGATTTGTAATTAAGTGTAATTGGATAATAAGGATATAATAAACCTTTAAAAAAAATATTTGGTACTTTCTGATATGGAAAATCCACTAATGTACCAAGGACATGCTCAGTTCTTGTTATCTGGTCTATGTTGTCAGAGGGTATAATACTCTCTACAACAGATGCTTAGCCAGGCTTGAATGGACAAAACCCCAATGTGTTGAATGTTCATTTCTGCAGGTCCTGTACAAATGGTAAATATATTTCTCCAGGCTCTCTTGAAACAGAATAAATGCACACACACACACACACACACTGATACTTGCTGATATCACCAACATTCCCTGGGGTTGTGATGCCAACTGTAAGCACTGTCCTGTCTGAGGCTTTGTTAGAATTTTACCTGAGCTTTAATTTAGCACAATCTGACCAGAAAGAACTGATTTAACTAGAACTACAGCAGATGAGATGACTTGTTGTTAACCAAGTTTGTCTCTGTTTTTCAGTTAGTCACTCTCACCCTTTGTTTCTTTCTTTCTTTCTTTTTTTTTTTTTTTTTTAAATCAAACACCTAAACAGGAGTTTTCTGACTATTTTAAAACTTTTTTGGCTGTGTTTACTAATGTTGTGTATTGTGTAACTGTGGAAACTCCTGAACATTCCACCATAAAGGTACATGTAGAACACCCCTAGTGCAAAGTATCAATACAAATTACTCTGATTCCTACCTGATCCTTTTGCATGACCACGACTGCATGATTCTTCTTATCGTCTCTTACAGCGCAGTGGTGAAGCGCACTCCCCTCTAGTCTCCCGGGTTTAAAAAACTGCTTATCATCTTTAAACTCTAAACCATTTCCATGGTCATCAAACTCTGAAAAGCTGTTTGAGTCCATCTCCTCCGCCTCTTCCGCTGCAGAGCCAGAATTCCCATTAGTGTGAGTGAAAAACTTCTGTGGTCCAGTCTTTTTAGAATCAGAGACCAATTTTGGTTTAGTCTCTAGTCTTTTGAGGTTAGTTTTTTTCTTCGTTAAGACCTGGTGTTCGTTAATTAGTCGGGCCATAGCGGGACTAGAGTTTAGCTCTGATGAGGTGACAGTTGTTGCTCTGCACCGTTTAGTTCTAGCGTCTTTCCACTTCTGGGATTTGCCCGGTCCTTTACCATGTGAGCTCCTTTTGACCTTCATACTGAAAGATGTTTAGGCATCAAACAAAACAAGAGGAAGGTCTGAAAACAGAAGGATAAAGTTATATCACAAATACAAACAATACAAGTGGACATTATATTGAGTATTATCTATAATATAACACTATATCAAAATGCATCAGAACCTGCTGACTGAAAAAGAATGGAGCAAACTTAAACCATGTGTCAAACAGTGATACACACAATGATATTTCTGTATGTTTGTGGGCCATAATAACAGCTGATCCAAATTTGTCCAATTCCTTATAATGTATACAATTATACTTCTATTATCATGCTAAGCTTTTTAGTTTAGTTTAGTCTTTATTTGAAGTATGTACAGGCACATTAAATAAGTCTGATATTATGTAAAATTCACTCTTGTGAGCTTTATGTCATATTACAATGTTGTTACTTCCACAAAAACATGATTCCGATGTTTTCATTCATTCACACATATTTGAGTAACCCATTATTATAAGTTTGTCAACATCTCCAAAGCTCAAAATGCTCTGTTCCACCTTGTGATGTCATGTAGGGGTTTCCAAGTTAACAGCTACATTTTACATTTACCTAGAGATTGGTATATCTAGCACTGAAAATATTCAAATTATTTTAGTGAAGGTGTATGAAGTATAAACACACAGTGGAGCACTTCTTGTATTACCACATGACATCACTAGGGTGACCAGATTTTCAAAATCAAAAGCTGGGATGCCTCCAGCTTGGGGTGGTTGGTAAAAAAATTAAATTGTAAAATGAGTGCATAATTAAGGAAAACTGTTATGCTTTTGGCCCATTCATGACTTACATGTAAGTCAGTATAGTCACATTTTCTCTTTCTTCTGCGTTTTTGTCATTTTTATGCAGCTTTTCTGTATTCTACTTAAACAAATGACAATGTATGCCTCTCTTTAGTGTTGGCAGGTTTCAAATTGGTCAAAAATAGGGACATCTGGGATATTTCTTGTATAAAACTGGGGCAAATCCCTGGTTTTCGATAAATCCACTGGGACAGGGGACAAAGGGCTCAAAACTGGGACTGTCCCGTGTAAATAGGGACGTCTGGTCAGCCTAGACACAAAGTGGAACAGAATATTTCCAGTTTGAGAACTCAGCCTAAATATGCAGGCTTTGTGTGTTAATCAAAAAAACTAAACAAAAAACAATAACAAAACAAAACTTCTTTGTTGTATTTATGCCAATAACGTTAAAAACATCAATAATAACTTAAGACGTCCTCTTAATTGCTAATATTATGCAGATGTATTCTTACACAAACCCTAAGAGCAAACCTAGCATCACAGTAAAATAGATTCATGCATGAAGTCAATAGCAACAGAGAAAATAATTCAACATATTGGTAAAGTGAAATGATCGGAGGCACGTTAACTGTTTCAACGTGACAACAAACCGCCACGGCTAACGATGTAAGAGCTAACTTGTCAATGCCCTTAGCAATGCAGAGATCAAACTTACCCACGGGCTGTGAGACGTGGGTGCAACAACACATACACGCGTTATTATATAGTACAACGCCACATCTACTTTATAATACGCTAAACATCACAAAGAAGACAAACAAGCCACCTGAAAGCAGCGCTCACTTAGCTTAGCTGCATGTGTCTCAGGTGAGCGACCGACCATGCACTTACCCGGAGTTTTCCTTCACCAAAAATAACAGCATAAACGTGTCAAAGTGAAACTAGTATTGTTAAAATTGTGAACGTATGAATGTAAAAGTATCCATTCTGATTTTCTGAATAAAGTACAGTCTTCTTGTTTCATAATATGTTACGTTTAATTAAAAAGGATCACAAATATCTTTCACGGAGTTAAGCGAGACAATATGACGTCACATCCTGTTCCTTTAGCGCTTTTCGGGCCCAGTTTAGCATCAAAACACTCGTGCATTTGACTCGTTTTTCTTTTAAATCATGTATTGTAAACTTTAAATCAGCAATGCGACATATGGATTGAATAAATATAATGGCGTAAACGTGAGACCGGGGCTTCTGGAGATGCACAGACCCGGTGCTTAGGGATCGTCTTGAAAGGTTTGTGTCTTGCAGTAAACGTGAGGTGCATAGCCAGGGATTTGACCATTTTCCATGACATGTCTGCAGTTTTTGTGGAATATTTGGAGTTTGCATGAACATGGATTGTTAATAATAAAATAGAGAGGACTACAGACTCATCTACAGCATTCACTATTTGTTTTAAGGTTAATAATACAAGCAGCTGTTTCTTGCAGGGCACAGTATGCAGCAGTAAATTAATGGATATTTTATGTTTTGAAAGCAAATATTGTTTTGGAAACCACAAAGTAAATAAAGTTGAGCCTTGCTGTAGACTGTCTATGATTTAACCATATATTGTGTTTAACAGGTTTTTACTGTGCATAGTAAACATGTGGGTACAAAGTAAAAGGAAAATTGGATAGGGAATTATTTGGGCTATATGAAAATTGTAATGAGTATGTCTTAGGCTGATCAGACATCCTTATTTACCCGGGACAATCCCAGTTTTAAGCCCAGTGTCCCCTGTCTCAACAGATTTATCCAAAACCATTGATTTGTCCCAGTTTTATACAAGAAATGTCCCAGGTGTCCCTATTTTTGACGAATTTGAAACCTGCCAGTAATAAAGAGAGGCATAAAATGTCATTTGTTTAGGTGAAATGCAGAATAGCTGCTTAAAAATGACCAAAACATAAAGAAAATGTGACTATACTGACTCACATTTTAGTCATGACAACAATTTTCCCTAATTATGCACTTGTTTCACAATTTTATTATTACCAACCACTACAAACTAGACTTGTCCCAGTTTTTTATTTTGAAAATCTGGTCACCCTAATATGTGTAGATGTACATTTTTTGGTAGAGGGTCCATCAGTTGTTGAGATGATTGCTATGCCTGGAATATTCCACAGAATGGTATTAAATTTATCTACCTAAATGGGTATCAAACCCACCTATATTATGTAAGTTACAAAGTAGACCTTTTATGGAGAATTTGAAAAATATTTTACTTCTCAAAAGAAGCAGGCAAATGTGGATAATATCTGTTGTCTTGTATTTCTTTGTTTACTATAATTTTCCAGCAGTACCCTAATTTGCTGTTCTTGTAAACAGGTGGTATCTGTGACATTTGAAGGATGTCCACAGCAGAGAGCCATGCACAGCGGGTCCTGTCTGTCCTGAACCAACAGAGGGCACTTGGTAAGCTATGTGACGCGGCTCTGAGCGCTCGTGAGGGGCTCGTCCGTCTGGCGCACAGGAACATCCTCGCCTGCTTCAGTGACATGTTCCAGGACATCGCACAGGTACGGAGGTCACGTATCAAACTATTTACGGGGCGCATATTATTATCATTACAAACAGACCTGGAGCTGTGTTTTGTTTCATGTTTAACACAAAAACCCTGCAGATTTAGGCTGAATTTATCTCTCAAACAGAAAACTATGTTCCACCTTGTGATGTCATGTAGTAATACAGACTCCATACACCTTCAGTAGAATCATTTGGATGATTTCTACCCTGGAATTGCCAGTCTCTACTGAACTAAGGGTAAAAGGCTGCTTGAACTTGAAACCTACCACTTCATGACATCACAGGACATCTTGAGCTTTCACACTCACTTAGTCCACTTCTTTATACAGTCTCTGTTCCAGACTGATACAACTCAGAAATGAAATGTACTTGGACTAAATCATGACTAAATGAGTGTAAAACAGATGTAAACCAGGACTGGTCAAACCTCAAATTGAACCACTTGACCTACACATGAAGTCAATTATCTGTACAATAACAAAAGGTTTGGAAAGGTCATGTATGATGGAAGGTGATGGATTGCATACAGGTCGATTCACTTAAAGTACATTTTTAAGTGGATACTTTTTATTTTTACTTCACTACATTTGAGAACAGGTAGCTACACTTTCCACTCCACTACATTTTTGAATTGGATTAAAAAGTTAAAGTATTTTTATTATTGTCTGAGAAGTACTGAAGGCTGAAGGGGTTGTTTTTAACATGTTCACTATTTGTTTCTTTTGAATAAAATTCTATTGAAGAAATTTCAGCACAAATCTTTATCAACATCTCAAGTTTTGTTAGATCTAAAAATCTACATGAAATACTTTTACGTTTTATTCTTTAAGTAACTGTACTTCAATAGTTTTTTATTTCAGTACTTTTACTTAAGTAGATTTTTTTCATTTGGTATTAAAATCGAGTACTTCTTCCACCACTGGTCTTACATCTGTCAGAAATCATCTTGTTAAAACCTTGCTCATGTTTTTTGTTTCTGCTCATAGTAAAGCAGCCTGATAGTGCGTCAGAGGTTATATAAAATAAATGAATGGTGGAGCCCTCTCTGCCCTCTGCTTTATCCCACGTGTGTGTCTGGCCCCTGGGTTTGGCCTGACGTCCCCTGCTCCTGTTTGCTCCTGTTTGCTCCTGTTTGCTCCTGTTTGCTCCTGTCCCTCTCCACACACTCAGATAATGTGAACATCTGTGGAGCGACCTCAAGCCAACCTCAGTGCAGCACAAAGGGCCGCTACAGATCTGTGCAGGGAGGAGGAGGAGGAGGAGGAGGAGGCTGCTTTCATGGACATGTCTCTTCTTACTAAAAGCATCTTGTAGTTAAAATGATTTGTTGTGTTATAATGTTGTGTCCTATTCAGTGGTGGAAGGTAACGAAATACAAAAGTAAAAGTACAATACTTCAGTACAATTTCTTGGTATTTGCACTTTGCTTACGTACATTTTACAGTGGATACTTTCTTTTTTTAATATTATTATTTTTATACATTTGAAAGTATGTTTCTGTACTTTACTCCACTACATTTTATATCTTGATTGGAAAGTAAAAAGTACTTTTCCTTTATGGTTTGAGACCTGCTGAAATGGCTGAGTCTTATTTTTAACATATTTATTTTGAGTTAACGTCATAACTTTGAATAAACCAAATACACAAAAACACTAAAACAGCTCAAAAAAATATTAAGAAATCAACTGAAACACTTAAAATCAGCTGAATCACAACATTTGATGCATTCATTCTTCTGAAAAGTACTTTTACTTTTTACTCTTAAAGTAAATTTTTAAACAGGTATTTCAATAGTTTTTCATGTGATACCTTTACTTGAGTAAATTGTTGCCCCTGTATCTGTACTTTTACTTGAGTAACAAAATTAAGTACAGTACTTGACTCACCAATATTTAACACACCGATCCTGCATATATGAGTTCTTCCCTCAAATAAAAAACACTCTGCTCCACTTTGTGATGTCATGTGGTAAAACAAGAGTGCTTCACTGTGTTTTAAAAATCCATACAACTTCACTTAAATAATTTGGATAATTTTAGCCAAAGAATTGCCAGTCTCTAAACCTCACATTTATTTGCTTTTGTACAGGACTCTGTGGTGGTCACTCTGACAGACTGTCCAGATGAGGGACTGGAGCTTCTGCTGGACTTCATTTACACAGGAGAGCTCCCACTGGACCATAATAACTGCCATGTGGTACAACTGGCAGCCACTAGCCTCTGTGTCCAGGACGTCATCTCAATGTGCCAACAGTTCAACAACCCCATCGAAGAGACTGTGAAACGCAAAAGAGGCAGGCCCAAAAAGAACACAACAACTACTAATAATGAAGTTTTTGAGAAGGAAAATCTACCTATTGCTAAAACAGATGAGGAGAATCTTGGAAATAAAGAAGACAGTAAAGTTGCCACGACAACTCGATCTGGTCGGGTGGTGAACTGCCCTAAAAGACTTGAGACAGAAGCACCTACTCACGAGCAAAATCAAGAAGTTCTGGTTTTAATTGAGGAGGTGGCGACGCCAAATCTTGAACAAGCAGCTGCTGAATGTGAGGTAAATCAGCAAATCACAGGGTCCCACACGATTCAGTACATGATGCATGGCTCATACGATACGATATGGAGATACATATTAGAACTGATATATTGATACTCTGCTATATATTGCTGTTTTAAGAACCAAATACAATTTAGCAACAGTATTTCTTTGTTAACCCATTATCTGTGCAAAGTTAATATGAAACACATCTATTTAAATAATCAAAACAGTGAATATGTCAAGTATATTGCATAAGCAAGTTTCCACTAAATAAGCATCCGAATTGTAGTGCGGTAAAAAAAATACTCTTAATGTTAGATAGAGCATAGAGTGAACAGATGAGGCTGGCTGAAATTCGGGAGAATGTTCTTTTTTGGGGGAAATTCATTAATATTTCTGCCAGAAGAAAAAAACATAAAAATCTAAAACTCAAAATGTCATTGTGGAAAAATAACAATGCACACATGTCGACCTGTGACTGATTTTGGGACTGTCCTGAATTTCTTGGGCGGTCTGGTCACCCTAATAGAGCAGCCTGTGATAATGATATTGTATCATTAAAATTAGTATCACGATATATCAATATTTTAATATTTTGCACACCTCTATTGCTCACAGTTGTGTTTTGATTGATTCATGCATGCTTGAGTGCAAAAAAGAATATAAAACAGTTTTCACCTACCCCCCACCTCTGCCCTGTGTATGTCATGCCTTGCTACTGTGAAATACCAGTATGAAGGGGTGGGATCAATCAGTTCTAGAGTTTGAACAGGAAGTCATTAGACCTCTTATCAAACCATTCTACATCAAGATAGCTGTTTGCAATGAATAACTTGTAAAGAAAATATATTTAGATATACTTATGTTATAGTTTAATACATAAATGCCCCAGAAAGTATACATTTTTGAATATAACTTTTTGAAAAAAAAAAAAAAAAAAAAAAGCACAAAGAAATCAATCAATGCTGAATCATCTCCCATTGGTAAAAACAAACAAAAAAAATGGATATGCATTCTAGATATTTAGGTGTAGTTTAGTACTTATTTCTTTTTTTTATTTAGAACTGCTTCATATTGTTTGGTTTTAATACTGCTGTTTTTGTCATGTAGCCCCCTAGTGGGCAGTCTGATCCAGATTACACGGCTCCTCTTGAAGACGAAGGGGACGACCCGGACTTTGAAGAATTTGTTGAAAACTCTCTTGATTCTTGGGATCATAATGACTCTGAGACTCCTGCTCCAACACCAGAGAAAAAGAGGAGGAAATCACAAACTAAAGCTGCCATAAACAAGAATGGAGAAAGCGGAGATGGAGGAGAGAAAGAAGGAGAGAATGGACAAGAAGGAGGAGAGACAGGAGAAGGAGGAGAAGGAGGAGAGGGAGGAAGAGTTCCATGTCCCATTTGTAATAAGAGTTTCAAGAGCAAGTACTACCTTAAAGTTCACAACAGGTACAGTATTTCTATCAAATGTATTTGATCAAAATTCAAAGTTTTTATTGATCCACAAGACAAAATTACATCTAATTTGCAGACCAAGAAAACTCTATGCATTAATGTTATTACTACAACATTAATGTCTTACTCAATTTGTCATTCACATGCCACAGTCGCAATAGGCAAGGGGAGTGAAGTGTCTTGCTCAAGAATACCACAACAATATGCAGTATTCAAATCAATATTCACACCAGCTGCAAATGCTTACTGTTGTTGTGTCCTTGAACAAGCTGAGTATATGGCACTTTACCTGTTTGAATGTGTCAGTGTGATAGTGTTATTGTTGATGGTTGAAGAGGGCTTTGGTGGAGTTTGGTAGCATCAGATTTCCCCTGGTGAAGAATGGGGGATCAGTTTGCTTTGATTTAATCTCTCCTGTATCTGTCTTCAGGCGGCACACAGGAGAAAAGCCTTTTGCTTGTGAAAAATGTGGAAAAAAATATTTCCGAAAAGAAAACCTACAGGAGCACGAAGCCCGAAACTGTGCTGTCACTGCACAGGTGAGAATCCAGATCCTGAGTTTGTTACATGAACTCATTGTATATAAATGTGTATCAAATACAATACCTTTAGGCATTACAACATGGGTGAATGTAATATTTGTACTGACAGGTGCACAAATGCCTGAAGTGTTGTGAAACATTTTCTCGAAAATCCCAGCTGACTTCACACATGGTGACTCACACTGGAGAGATGCCCTATGAGGTACAGCTCAGTACAAATAAACACAGATAAGAATTCAAGTTATGGAGAAAGATGATATGAACATGTTTTTTTTTTTTTTTGTTTTTTTACAGTGTTCCATCTGTTCAGAGCAGTTTATGCTGAAGAAACACCTGAACCACCACATGATGAGACTTCATGGTTTTCCAAAGCCACATGCAGTAAGTCACCTCTCTGAGATGCACAAGTTTAATGCCCTACTGTGGAACATTACAGGCAAAGCAATAGCATCCCCTTGAAATGTTAGAATGTAGTTAATATGTAATCAAGTTTAAAATTATAGATCATATTTCTGCAATCCATGTCATAAATCCTCCCTGTAAATATCTTGAAAGTTCTATATTATCTGCTCAACTCTTATGCAGTTGTGTTTTGAATGTGTTTTGTAGTGCCCCGAGTGTGATAAGTCCTTCATGTCGAAGAGTGAGCTGAGGATCCATGACTCGTCCAAACACAAAGGAGAGAAGCCGTTTGTGTGTGAGGAGTGTGGACACAGAGCCACCAGCAGGAACGGACTCAGGATGCACATCAAGGCTATTCACAGGTACACACATACTAACAATATGTCCCCAGAACATAAAGGTGCACTATGGGTCTTTTCTGTTAGTGTTTTCAGTCTGAATCGAGTCAATGATCAGCTTTCATTGTTTTAATGCAGAGATCTACAGCCAATCCTCTGTCAGTAAAATATGTGGTTTGGAGCAAACAGACTTGAGAAAAGACTTGTGACATTTGTTTGTGTTAAATGACACTGATTAAATGTCGGTATTGTTTATATTCAGGAAACTCATTTTATTTGTTTAGACAGTTGTAACCTGTGCCTAGCTCCAAATTTTAATAATCTGATTGAATACTTTTGTTGTTCCAGACATGACAAGCCTTTCGTGTGCTCTGAATGTGGCCGTGCGTTTACACAGAAGAACAACCTGAACATCCACATGCTGGTGCATTCAGGAGAGAGACCATTTCAGTGTCATGTGTGTGGAAAAACATTCAGGACGCAAGGTGAGGGGAGAGTCAGAGGCTGTGTGTGACGTTATAATTAGGGATTAATTAGGGATGGGTAGCATTGTGATTGTGATTATGTAAGTTCAGTTAAATAAAAAAAAAAAGTAAAACACAACGGATTCCAGGCACTCCAAAACAGTAGAAAAAATTAACACATCGCAAGCCCTGATGAAGACCAGTTAAGGTCGAAACATGTTGGCTTTGGCCATTCAAATAAAGGCCTTTTAATTATATTTTTCCTCGTGCGATGTGTTAGTGTGCCTGGAATCCGTTGTGTTTTGAGTTTTGATCCTTTTTTTCCAAGAGCACCCTCTATTTGCTCTTACTGATTGGAACACCTGCAGCAAACAGCCACATTTTTGTTCTTTCTCCCAAAAAAAAAAGTACATGCACTAGCCCATGTATTAGTCAAATTGTGTCAAAATAAAACTTAACACTGACTAAACCAAGACCAGATCAGTAAATTCTTGAATAAAATCTACCTTTTTGTCAATTTTTCTTTAAAAAAGAGTAAATCTCTATAAAATGCAAAAAAAAAAAGTGTGTTGCAACGTTTTTTCTTTTGCAATATATTTTATTGTGCCTATTTTTTTGCGATATATTGTGTAGTCCTAGCATGAATCCAGCTTTTTCAGTTCTAATACATTATCTTGCCTAATTATCTACCAATCACCAGTAACTTTAGAACTGTTTTGTATAGATAAAAGTCCAACCATTATGCCTTATTACTTCAATTTATAGGCCCAACCAGGATAGCAGCTTAAATTAATATTTAGGAATTTATACCCATCTCAAGTTTTTTTCTGGATTAGTTTAGTTTATTTTGTTTATTTTACAGGAAACACGTACAGGAGCATTAATTAAAGAAAACACTGAAGAGAGGCTTTGTACCAGAAAATAGCGCTCCGATCAGCACCGATATCTGATACCAGTATCAACATTTGTGAATTTGAGATATTTCTTCATACAATGTGAATCTTACATGGAATCACAGCTTTTAGGGTTATATTAGGATTAGTGTAATCATAGAGGTTGTGTTTATGTTATGTTTATGTTAATTTGATTTCATTGATATGAATAACGGCACCAAAATTCTGAAAAATTGGCAAAATTTTTTTATTTATACTGACAGAGAAATGCTGAATTTTGTGCCAGTTTTTGTTTCATGTGGACAGACATAGTAATTACAGAGATATGAACCCTAAACCAGGTCAACATATCTGCAATCTGTCAACAGAAAATTCCACCACAGAATTGTGCTCCAGCTCAGTTTAAACTCTCGGGCTTCTACGATGTTGAGGTGTGATAAGAACACAACTTGTTCTTGTGTACTGCAGGCACTCTGGACAAGCACTCGCGCACACACACAGGGGAGCGGCCCTACAGCTGTGAGGTGTGTGAGCAGCGCTTCACTGAGAAAGGGGCCATGCTCCGACACATGGAGAGTAAACACCAAGAGGGACGCCCACACCCCTGTAACATCTGTGGAAGAACGTTTAAAGGCAAGATAATAACCAGCAGGCTTGCTATGTACTGTGTGTACTATGTGTGTACTATATTTTACACGTCTGTACCTAAAGGTGCACTATGTAGCTTTTCTGGCCATTGTCTCTATGGAGATGTCAGTGCTTTGCCTGAGATGTTCCACAATATAGTGTTAAACTTCAGATGATTTTCTTCTCTTAAAAATAGCTTGAAAAGCATGTATTCTTACAGTGAGCAGGCTTGCTTCTCCACAGATCTGACCTGTAACTTGGCCTCGTGGTGTAACCCGTTTGTTTCCATAGAGATATTTTTACAATACTGTGGAACAAAAACAATGATATCTTCCTGGAGACAAACAAGTGGCTGACCCTGTACCAGAATATTTAGAAAAAGTTCCTTTAAAGTTTCTGATCAGGTGTTGACTATGGATTTAAGGTTTTATTATTGCTCATATTTTAAGACTCAAGAGATACAGTTTTCTCTTGAAGATCTTTTATAGATAGTCCCAAAATGATGACAAAAAAATGTTTTTCTGATATTTTCCCTTCTGTCTTCAGCTCGAGAACAGCTGCGAGTTCATTTGAATCGGCACAAGGGTGTGAGAAAGTTTGAGTGCATAGATTGTGGCTACAAGTTCACCCGACAGGTTTGTGTTTTATACTGTGTTTTATACTTTATTACAATATAACATTTATTACACTGCATAATGAAAGTTTCATTATTTGAACTTCAGTAAGCAAATAAACTGTACAGAAAAACACAACATTATTGCAATAGAGAAAAACTTTGGAGAAGGGCCTTTTTCTTTTCTTACTGTTTTGCCTGTAATGTTCCACAGTATGTCATTAGAGAAAAATAGGTAACATCTCTAGGCCTGTGGAATCAATTCTGAGTCAAATAGCTCAAAGAATACATTTAAAACATCAATCAAAATACAAAAAAATAAAATCTAATAAAAAAAGTAAAATAAAATAAAATAAATACATTCACAATCCAACTATTTGTGTAATCATGTAAAATATCCGTCTTTGCCTCCTTTGAAACATTTTGTTTTGTTCCTTGTCTATCTCAGTTTTGTTTGATGTCAGCCTTCTCGTCAAGGAAGGTCAGGGAGTGCAAACAAGAAGGCTGGAATCGTAACCAAAAAAAAACAACAGCATCACAGAAAGCTGAGAAAGATGTGGAACAAAAATAAAAGACGAAAGAATAATTTGATTGCAAACTTTATTTATTTATTTATGTATTTATATATTTAGATTTATAATTTTATGCTGAATTTTATGTTTTAAAAGCATTTTTTGAACTGTATGACTGAAAATTTATTCCATATAGGCCAAGTTACAGGTCAGATCTGTGTAAAGGTGACTCCACTCCATGTAAGAATTCATTTTTTTCAGATACATTTTGGCATTAAAAATATCTGTAATTTAATATCGTGACATTTGTTTAATGAAATATTTTAGAAACATTCCAGGCAAAGCAATAACATTTCCATGGAGACAAGCAGGTGACTCCCCACTAGAAAAGTTACTTAATGCAACTTTAAATACTTACCACCTTCTTACTTCTTTGAAAATCAAGTAACACAGCTTTATCATGTACGATGTTTTGTTTTTCTCTCCTGCAGTCCAAATCAAAATGTATCTCTAGTTCAGAACCAAATAATTTAATTAAATTTTTACAAATTTTATAATGAATGTTATTTTTTTTCTTCAGGCCCATTTGCGTCGTCACACTCTGGTGCACAAACGAACCGAGAACTACAACCCGAAGGAGAGGAAATTCAGAAACATCATAGTGGACGACTTGGACAATACTTACGACGCAAACACTTCTGCTCAAATAGTCCAAGATTTACTCAAAAAGAAGTCAAAACCTGCAAAAAAGCCTCAGAAATTACCTAAAAAGACTAAAACAGCGAAGAAAAAAACTACCAAAGACAGTATTGAGGACTTGAGTGACCATTTGTTTAGCGACACGAGTTCAGATTCAGATTATGAGGAAGGAGCGGAAGAACTGAAAACCAAAAAGAGAAAGAAGACAGAAAAAGTGGAAAAGATGGAGGGTTTAGAGAGCACTGTGGACATGTCGGACATAGCAGAAGAGATGACGCAAAGCAAGGATGAATAATAAAGATACTAATATTTTGCAGGGAGTCACGCTGGGGGTGTTCTGCATGTACCTTTAATGGTTGAATGTTAAGGAGTTACCATGGTGACACTGTGCCATTAGCAAACACAACCAAAAGTGTTAGTCTGAGAACGCAAGAAAAACTACAAAATGGATTTTAACAAAACATTTAATCAATTCAAGCATTCACTGTCACAGTTAAGTGTTTGATTTTCAACAAAAAAGGTGAGAGTGACTAACTGAAAACCTGTTGGCTGCGAGTGACTGTAGTTTTATTTGAGAGGCACTTGTTTACTAGCCTGATTCATCAGTCATCATCAGAGTTTGCTCGACGGTAGACAGATACTTTTTTTATTTAACCAATCGCTGCTATTTGATCATGATGTATGTAATGCGCCAAATCCTGTAGGAAAAAAGGACAATAACGTCTTTCCCTTTTATAAAATTCACCAAACATTCTCTTTGTTCTGGCTTTAAATTCTCGATCTCGGAATCGATGCCAACACAGAATGTCTGTCTTCGTCTACATCCATCTCGAACTCTTTGTTTACTGTTGTGCTGTTCCAGAAACGGACCCAGACAGGCGCAACGAGTTTGACGTCATGGCTTCACAGCTCTTCACTGATTGGCTGGTGCGTGGTCTGTAACATCCTGGGTTCGTGCAAACCGTCTAATGTATTCCGATTCCTGACCTAACCGCTGGAGAGAAATTAAATTGAGTGGAGGCACTACATGGCGCCAGCCTGACTACTTGTTTACAGCACGCATCAACTCACCTACTGTAGATCCAGCTAAGCATCACACTCCCAGGTAATGTGGATGCCATGCCAGTTCCTAACAGTCCAATCACAGCTAATTTGTATCACCCCATCTCGACTTGAAAATTCTCATATCATTCAGAACAAAATCTAAATCTTCTTTTACCTGACATTTTTATACAGCAGTTTTTCACCTTCAAGGCACTAAAAGTGCTTTACAACAAACTCACCCAGGTACACTCACATACACCAGTGTACACAGACACTGGGGGGCGAGGTGGGTTAATTGTCTTGCCCAAGGACACAACGACACTATTCATCCGTGGGACCTGGAATCAGAAAGGGCTAGTGGATCTGACTACTCATCTAATGATGTTTACTGTATGTCGAGAGTGGGATTGGAACTGCCAGCCTTCCAAATAGTAAACAAACGCTCTGAGCTACTGCTGCCCCAATAAAAATAACAGTGTAGTGCTTTTGATTTGCCAGTTCTCTGCCACATTATTATTCTTATATTTTATTTTTTTACTTGTAAGTTTGTTTTGACATGAATGGGGCATGTGTTTCTGTGATTGGTTAGTCCATGTGTCAATCATGCATAACTCGTAACATGGAGGAGACAGAATAAGGTTCCAGATAATAGACTCTGTATATAACTGGACATAGCCGCCTCGTTCCAAATAGGAAGTGAGCATGGAGGTGTTTCCGGCTCCATCGACTCCAGCTCCAATCCACTTTGTATTAAAAACGTCACCCCTCTCGCTGTAACTTCATCATTTCTTCTAACTTCAAAATGTCCGCATTAACCCTCTCTGCATGATCCTTGTGTTTTAATTTTACCAGCAAATCAAGTCCTATTCTGAATATGGAACTCGGCTCCGATTTCGCTCATATAACTGCTACTTTCTGTGAGCTTCATTTGACTGGAGCCGAATGTTATGGGTGACACCACACTCTCTTATTCCACTTCTTTATACCGTCTATGTTCCAGAAATATTCAAATGTAATATGCACAGATGTTGACCCTTATCATTATTTGTTTGGGATTAGCTCCGCAAACTTGCCATATTGTGTTACAGTGTCATTTTTATTTAATTGGCCCTCGCCACTAACAAAGTTAGGGGCGAGGGGTATTGTTTGTTAGTGGCGAGGGGTATTGTTCTTCGTCGGTTTCTTTTTTATTCCCTTTTCCGACCAAACGATCGCATTTTTGACCCCCTGAACATGGACGAAAAGTCCCCAAACCGGGGTCCAGATCGATCGGCCCGGCGAAAAATTCGATAAAATGGGCATCGCAACAATGACCCGAGTGACCCGACTCAACAGCGCCACCTAGAATTCGACCCCTATGGGAGTGGGGACAGGCAAAGTTTGTCGCAGGGAAACGAAATTCGGAACAGTGATAGAGAACAATGAGACAAGCCAAAAGATGAATTGGAGCATGACCCTATGATGAACAGGAAGTCGGCCATATTGGATCAAACATTCGGCGCCGTTTTGACTTGGGGGTCTACAAAAAGATTCAAGTCCCCGGGGTTTGGTCCAAATGAGCTCAGATTTGACATGTCACATCTACAGACATGAACTCACAGAAGTTGCCAAATTTTTTTGGGATACTCCTTACGGTTTGCCCGTAGCACACCGGCGAACAACGCCTTCATTTCCTGTTTTTTCGGTGACCTGTCACGGCCACAGGCATTGTCCTAGAGAACTCAAATTCTAATCACAATTGCGTGATCCAGACCTGAATGTAATGAAAAATGAAATTTAATAAAAGTGAACTCTATAGCGCCCCCTAGCATAGACATGAAACGTCAACATTATTGGATTTGTACCAAATTCGGGAATTAAATTCTGCCCATGATTACAAGCAAAAAAGTTTATTACAGACATGATGCATTTTCCACCATTGGCCAGCAGGGGCGCAAAGACTCCCCCAAAAAATAGTAAAAAAAATTATTATATGCCCATGTTTAATCGGATCGTGCTGAAATTTCAATCAGTAATGCATGATGTGAGCCTGAATATAATACACTACAAAACAGATGAAAAGTGAACACTATAGTGCCCCCTAGCATAGACATGACCTGTTAACATTATTGGATTTGGACCAAATTCAGGGAATAAGTTCTATGCATGACTATGAGCAAAACATAAATAACGGACATGGTGCATTTTCCACTGTTGGCCAGCAGGGGCGCATTCACTCCTAAAAATATTTAAAGGGGCATTATGTAATGTGTCTAATGGACGAGCTGTCGGCCTGGGCGGTGTCGGGAAGACAGGGTGGCGTGACGGGGCAGTCGCGAGTCCCAGGCGGTCGCGTGGGGGGGCGGTGCGTGCCGGGGCGAGGGCCACCATCGCCGCGCGCGGCTTTAATTATGTGTTGTTATTCATTCATTATTATTATTAGCTGCAATAGTTGTTGAGGCTGTGTGGTAGACGATAGGCACACAAGACAATAATAAAAGGTTGAGGTTTATTAAAAAACAATAAGTCCTGCCACTGGTTGTAAACATTAAACAACAGCCTCTCGTCAAAAACACCTCTGAACTAGAAATAGCCACGCATCGGACAGCACCAGGGCTGTAGTGAACGTGGTACGCGAGTCGCCGTTCTGTCCAGTCCTGTCCTATAGAGACCTGAGACTTGAGGGACCGGGACTAAACCAGGACTAAACCAGGACTAAACCAGGACCAGTGGCGGGTGATGGTATAATTTTTGGGAGGGGCACCAAGGGCAAAATTATAAATATATATTATGAATAATATATGTATTATATATATAGGCTGTAGTATTATAACAAATACCAGAAACAGACATTTTGGTTAGTATTGGCTGAACAGTATCGATCAGAGCACAATGAACAGCCAAGCGCAAACTTTATGCAACAACACAACGTAACACGCCGCTCACACCCAGACCCAACAACGTCAACAAAACTACAATAAGAAACATGAACACAGATGCCGCTCCTACAGCACACGACAGAACAACCAGAGCAGCTCCATCTCACCCACCAGCTCATTTACGCACTATTTAACTATTAACACTATAACACTATTTAACTATTAACACTATAACACTGTGAGGCTCCAAGTTCAGATTTGCCGCAAACTAATGAAAACCAGCCTCTTACCTTCTCCAGAGACTGAAGCAGAGTGTTTCCTCTATCCATTGTCCCACTGGTTCTGTTTCCAAAAGTTTACATATGTCCAATATGAAGAGATGACCATAATTCCAACACTGTCATCAAATTTGCTGATGACACAACTATTGTGGGGCTCATAACAAACAATGATGAAGCTGCTTACAGGGAGGAGGTCCTGACACTGATCTCCTGGTGTAAAGACAATGACCTGCATTTAAATACAAAGAAAACTAAAGAAATGATAATTGATTTTAGGAAAAACAAATGCATTCCCCATCACATTGGCCTCTACATCAACGGAGAAGAGGTAGAGAGGGTCTCCAACTTTAAGTTCCTGGGTGTGGAGATCAGTGAGAATCTAACCTGGAGCCTAAACACCATCAGCGTTATAAAGCGTGCCCAGCGGAGACTGTTTTTTCTACGAACACTCCGCCAGAACGGGCTCTCCCAGAAGCTCCTAACCAACTTTTACCGGTGCACCATCGAAAAGCGTTCTAACGTACTGCTGTACATCATGGTATGGAGCCTGCACAGCTGCTGAAAAGAAGGACCTGCAGCGAGTGGTGAGAACAGCTGAAAAGGTGGTGGGCTCCTCACTCCCGAACCTGGACACCATCTACTCTTCACGTCTCCACACATGGGCCTCCAACATTTTGCAGGACCCCACACACCCCGGGAACTGCCTCTTCCACACTCTCCCCTCAGGAAGACTTCAAACTCCCCTCACACGCACAAACAGGCTGCGCAACAGCTTCTATCCACGAGCAGTGGACGTGCTCCAGGGGCACAGGCACAGATAAAAGACCTGAAGGGACTCAGTGCAATAATCTATTTATTTTATTTAATAAATGTTTTTTTTTTTATTGGTATGGATGTGAGGATGTGTGTATATATATTGTAAATTTTTACTGCTACAGATCTGCTCTGCTGAAGTTTCGTTGTATTTCATACAATGACAATAAATAAATCTATCTATCTAAATCTATCTATCTATCTATGAAACTGGTCCAAATCCTGGTCCAGTCTGGTCCGTGACGCGAGGTCCAGGAGCCGAGTGCACAAGATGGTTGTAAAATTAGTCTTAATCCCACTTCCCACTGAAATCTGAAAGTTACGGTCAGTCCATATCAGCACCAGGACACCAGGTAGAATTATGCCTCTGCGCGCTATGCTCAGGTCAAACTTGTACACCCAGAAACGAGCGGGCAAAGGCGGATAGAGCAGTGAGCGACTGCCCTGGCCCCGGCGGCGGCAGCGAGAGTCCCAGCGGCGACAGTCCCGGGTCCCGGCGGCGGGTCTGTCAGGTCGGGTCTTTGACTCTGTTCTCGCCATTTCCTGTGTGGAGCTTTAGGCTAAAGTAGCAGCTGCCGCTAATCGTGGAGCTGCTACGAGTTGACGCAGCAGGTTGACGTGACGTGACGTGAGTGACAGGACAGTTGTCCAATCACATTACACTAAATAAACAGAGACTGTGATGTGTGAAATGCGCCAAGCAAAATCATTTTAAAATAGTAAAAATAACGGCCTGTTGGGGGGTGGGGCACCAGTGGCCGCTAGGGGGGGGCACGGCCCTCAAATGCCCCACCTTGCCGCCGACACAGTTAATTGTCCGTAACAACCCCAAACTTACCTGGTTTTCTTGCGCAGCTACTAAACTGACAACGTTTTCCGACTAGGCTGTTTTTGAACCTTCTTGCCTTCGTGTTGAATGTTGTTACATTCTGAACATTCTGCCATTGCCCGATGTTATTTCAAAGTCATAGCCTCACTCCATCGGTCTTTCTTTAAGTTTTAAATACCCCGAGTGGCAGTCTACGCTATAATGTCTGCGTGTTTTAAAATATATCTGATATCGAAACAAAAAAAAAGCATAAATATGGCCCTATAGCCACTTACGTGTTGGCAAACAGCTGAAATAAATTAGAAATAATAAAATAAACTGCATATAATATGTGCCTCGTAAACCTTAGGCATCAATAACCCGACACAACCTTAACCTTCAGAACATAAAACGAGGTCAAATGGGCTAATTAAGGACATGACGTACACTTCATACTACAAGCATAAACAATGAGACTCGTCTTTTCAGATGTAGGTAACAATACTAACAATAACTTTTTTTTTTTTTTTTTGTAGTTAAACCGCCACCCGCCCGAATTTAATTAAAATATAATTTTTCGTCACGTCATCCGCCCGACCCGCGGATTAACCGCGGATACCGCGGTTGTAACCGCAATCCGCGCATCTCTACTGACCGCACACTCACGGTGTGTGGAACAAATTTTTTGTGGGGTTCAAAATCCTGGGTCCCACAAGGGAAATCATTGGAATGGATAGAGGAGACGTTGCTGATATGTCTAGTGCAGAAATTTCAAGTTCTCCACACTTCACAAAAACATGACTATGTGTGCTTAAGTGTACTTAAGATTGGCCCTCTACAGGCCACAAACGGTACTGCAGTTTGACTTTTTCACGCCAAGTTCAAGCAATCCACCTTGAAGGTGGAAAAGCGCTATAGAAAAATGTGACCATTTACCATTTACCATAATAAAAATGCAGTGTGTTATCGTGTCTCATATTTTCGAAGGAAGAAGCTAGCTAGCAAGGGAGCTAATGTTAGAATAGCATCCCTTGCTAGCTAATGTTAGACTAGCCTACGTATGCTAACCCAGTGTCCCCAACCCTTTTTGCGCCACGGATGTTGTGGTTTTATATCTGACAATATTTCACGGACCGGGGGCTGTGTACGGGCGGCGGCGGTGTACGGGCGGAGAGGTGCGGTGCGAGGCAGAAGTAATGTATTCTTAGTTATTTAGGGGATTGGGGACACTGTACAAACCAATTTGCATGTGTTTTCTAAACACCGGAGCAAGGCTAGCTAACCAATCGCCATGCTCGATTGGGAAAACGTTTGATGGAAGACGATGTTAGATTCTGCCAGCTACTTTTCCACTTTATTCACTTATATGACATTTCATTGGGCCGTAAAAAATACTATAATTAGTTGTAATGAGAGAATAAATTAGAGATTATTAGCCAAGCTTCGCGTCCAGACTTCAGTGCTTTGCTAACATACACGTGTATGTTAGCAATGGTAATTGGTTCACATTACAAGAAGCTAAACTGGAAGCAGAGACCGGCTCTGCTATATGGATAACTGCAAACGATGTTTGCCACATAAGCCTTTCAGAAATGTTTGTGTGAAATTTCTTATTGTAACATGAACCAATGGACAATGGTAACAATTCATCGTTGCCTCTTCTATCAGACTTGTAGTAAGGTCAAGCTTTTTGCAGAGTTTTATCTTATTTTGAAATTACGGGATGTATTGAATTAACTTTTTAACATAAATTTGAGAGTCCCAGTCTTGACGTTCTTCTGAAGCACTCCATGTTGTGTCACTATCAAGGTTGCACTTGTCCATTGCCCTGTCTCTATCCTGAGTATATGTGTGATAGGTAGTTAGCCAAGCAATCTAGTAGTTTTCATCATTGTGGTATGCATTCTTATTTGGGCATGTACTACTATTCTCATATTTCTTTATTAAGATGTTTTCAACAGCTTTAGTGTAATAAGTATATGTACTACCTCTGAGAGGTAGTGTGGTTTCTTTTTCATCACAGTGTTTAACATGTGACTTTTTTCAGGTAAAAGTTCTGACAATGTTGATATATGGCATGTTTGATATATTGGTAGCATAATGATTAGGGCATAGATCTTTACCTAGCCTTGTGTTGCTTACATGTGTGTATGCACGTTTGTGCTTGTAGTAATGCAAGAGATTTAAGCTCAAATCCTGGAATTATCAGTGAAAGTATTGTTTCTATGTTTCAGATTCAGGCTAGAGTTCTAAAGGACTTAAATTGATAAATAGTGAATTTCCCCTTTTAATCTGTTTTCTACAGGTAAAATGGCGAGAAGGAGGGTAACCCCTCAGAGTGTAGCAGAGCAACATGTCATCAGTGGCACAGACCAGACTGCCATGTTGGATGTTAAATACATAAACCCCACTAAAGGTAAGTGTCTCTGCAATCAGTGTTAATTGGTACTTTGTACTGAAGATATCTGCTTAGGATAGTTATATTACATGTGTCTTAGGTGAAATGAGGGTTCTTTTTGCAGCTTCACCATGTTGCCAACATGGGCAATACATTTTTTACTAACTCTTACTTCTGTGAACAGGCAGGGGTGTATTTGCCCTGTCGCCTTTTCAAAAAAGGGATTTTGTGGTCGAATATAGAGGACAACTTATTGACCTTGAGGAATCAGAGAGGGGGAGGAGGATATATAATGCAAAATGCTTGGGCTTCATGTTCGACTTCATGTGGCATGGAAAGAAATGGTGGTAAGCATTTACTGTATGGTGGGTGTTAAAGGGAAACTTTAGTGTAAAATGAAAATTGGCATGTTTCTTCAAGCTGTTTTTTATGGTTTAAAAAATAATGTAATCTTCATATGCTTTCCCTATGCCCATAGCCCTACTATTGTTAAAATTATAAAAATTTGTGAAGTTCTAAATGCAACAGGCTAGCGCAGTTTATTTCAGCAAACATACCAACTCGGTATGATGTTTTAACATGCCAGTTTTCATTTTACACCAAAGTTTTTCTTTAATTTCTGGCCAGACAAGCTTCCAATAATCAGTAGATGATCTTGGCCTAATGTCCTGCTTGACTTTTGATACTTTATGTCTCATTTGAAGCATTGATGCTGCGATGGAAGACGGCTCATTGGGAAGGCTGGTCAACGATGATCATGTCCATCCTAACTGTAGGATGAAAAGGATATTAGTTGGTAGAAAGCCACACCTCTGCCTGTTCGCTGTTAGAGACATACACAGTGGAGAGGAGATTACTTATGACTACGGAGATGACAATTGGCCATGGAGAGAAAAGGTTTGTCAGTGACATTGTATGTGCCTCTGTATATGTTTTATCAATTATATCATCTTTTGACTGACTGCTGCCCTCGTGGCCAGGTGACCCTTGTATATACCCTTGTAAAGGATATATCTCTATCTATCTATCTAGATATATAATATATAATGATACACTGTATACTTCAAATGATGCTGATGTTCTTCATGGTTGTATTTCTGCTAAAACAGGAGGTTGGGTATGACTTGGAGTGCTTGTTTAATGATTTAGAGTTAAAATGAGTTGCTGACTGGCTGATGGTCTCAACCCAGTAGAAGACACATGCTACTGTATAGCTGTTGTGTAGTATGATGAGTACTACACATACCAATTCTGAATAACTGATTGTAATTCATAACTTAGGCTGATGGAGACTCTCCTGACGAAGCTGTGGAGAACCCAGTGATGCAACAGGAAGAGGTTTCACCCCCCAGCTTGCAGGTAAAAATCTGTTACCAGACTTTGTGTTTAGATACTTGTCAACGTGTTTGTGATTTGAGGCAATGCAAACACACACACTTACTAGGTGTAATGAGGTTCAAGATCATGTCATAGAGTATTTTCAGTTGTGAGGATTAGTGGGCTGGTTTGATCAGATATGGTTCTTGCTTACACTCACACAGTCTCAGGTACAGCGTTGTGGGGTATCTGTACCCATCCTCCACTCCAAGTTACTGATAATACAGGTGACACACACACAGTCTCAGGTACAACCTTGTGTGGGCCATGTAAAGGATAGTTTGCAGAGAAGGACATTTACTGCTACAGCCAAAGTCTACTAGAATGTAACCTTCTTGTTAACACAACCCACATGCTACAAGCAATTCTTGGATCACTGACTTTACACTGACTGCAGTTACTGCACACTGAAGTGGTGGTGCTTTTTAAACTGTTCTTTTAACACATGCTGAGACATACATCACCGCTCAATATAACATGTGGGCCATACACACACAGTGAAGATAACTTGGCAAATATGATGCACTGTATACTTCAAATAATGCTGATGTTCTTCAGGGTTGTATTTCTGCTAAAACCGGAGGTTGGGTATGACTTGGAGTGCTTGTGTAATGATTTAGAGCTAAAATGAGTTGCTGACTGGCTGATGGTCTCAACCCAGTAGAAGACACATGCTACTGTATAGCTGTTGTGTAGTATGATGAGTACTACACATACCAATTCTGAATAACTGATTGTAATTCATAACTTAGGCTGATGGAGACTCTCCTAACGAAGCTGTGGAGAACCCAGTGATGCAACAGGAAGAGGTCTCACCCCCCAGCTTGCAGGTAAAAATCTGTTACCAGACTTTATGTTTGCATTGCCTCAAATCACAAACACATTGACAAGTATAAACACACACTCTTACTAGTTGTAATGAGGTTCAAGATCATGTCATAGAGTATTTTCAGTTGTGAGGATTAGTGGGCTGGTTTGATCAGATATGGTTCTTGCTTACACTCACACAGTCTCAGGTACAGCGTTGTGGGGTATCTGTACCCATCCTCCACTCCAAGTTACTGATAATACAGGTGACACACACACAGTCTCAGGTACAACCTTGTGGGGTATCTGTACCCATCCCCCACTCCAAGTTACTGATAATACAGGTGACACACACACAGTCTCAGGTACAGCGTTGTGGGGTATCTGTACCCATCCCCCACTCCAAGTTTATGATAATACAGGTGACACACACACAGTCTCAGGTACAGCCTTGTGTGGGCCATGTAAAGGACAGATTATAAAGGAAAGGATGTTTACTGGTGGAGCCAAACTCTGATAGGGATCCAAGAATTGCTTGTAGCATGTGGGTTGTGTTAACAAGGTTACATTCTGATTGTACACTGACTGCACACTGACGTGGTGGTGCGTTTTAAACAATTCTTTTAACACAAGACATGCTTAAGATGACTCTGTTTGCATTAGCATCATTTTGCAGCAACAATCAACAGGTCTGGTAATAAATTCTGGTTGCTTGCATCTATGACAAAGATTCAGTCTGAACATTTCATTTGATCCCTCCCAATTTATTTTTGGTTTGATTTGAAACATGCAGTCTTATAATCTAAATTTCTTTGAATGTTTTAGAGTGGCAGTGGAGACTCCTTTGTCAAGGATTTAGAGAATAGTTCCTTTGTATGCAGCTCCAGCATGGTGTTGCAACACAAAAAGGTTTTTGAAAAAGCCAAGTCCACCTTGGTAACCTACTCAGACTCCAGCGAATCAGCCATCAGTTCCAGCACTAAAGAAGATGTTCCCCCATCCACCATGCAGGTATCTTTGTCCTTTGTAGCAACTTCAGTAATTTCAGCAATAGCGCCCTGTCACTAAGCATGCCCGCATTTCAACCTGCCACTGTCTTGATAGAATAGATTTTGAAGTGCTCATTCACTGTTTCATTGTTTTGTTTTGTTTTTTACAGCAAAATATTTTGCGTTTAAAATACATGAAAGTGAAATGGCTTGTTTAGGTTTGGGCAGCACAGCACAAATGCCAATCCACTTTCAATAAAATCCACTTTCAATCAAATCCACTTTTATTTATATAGAACATTTCCTACTTTGAGCACTCATAGCTGAATCAAGCTATGCACGTCCATGTAATTATAAATCTACTGTGGTAAAAACAGTCTGGGTCAAGGGGAGTCATGACATTGTAATTACATATGTGTATTCTGCCTGTTCTTTAGACTATTTTTGGTCATTTGAAATGGCATTGTTTTGACATAGGAGTGGATGGACTAGGGATGGGCATGATTAGTTGATTCATCGATAATTGATCATTAAGAATTTCATCGATTACGTTAATTTTAATCGACAAACCGAATGTAGGTTGCTGTGCGTAGTGTAGAGTGACCAAACAGGGTCAGTACGTGTAGCTCTCTGCACTCAGAAGGAGCGAGACACAAACAGTCGGTCAGTCTGCAACGTACTGAAGTGCAAATATGAATGATGTGCAACGATGACTTGTACAAGAAAGTCCACGCTTTCCGTTCGGGACAAGTGTGAGTTCATGTGCACAGTGTATAAAGCAGCACATATGTTTCGGTGTCCAGTGGGAAAAAGCTTTGCCAGGTGAGAGTCGCACAATGTAGATGACGAGTCCCGACCTCCCGCCCCTCGTACGGTGTCCTGGTTTTGACAAACACAAATATGATCACACTAACCTGTATTCCGCTGAGTCGTGTCTTTTAATCCGACAGAAATTGACCGCATCAGCGCACAAGAGCTGTAGTTTTATCTTCGCTTAGTTTATGCAAATTAGTGATGCGGTTTTAAGTTTCATTTTGTGGGAGTTGCGCAAAACTGAATTAAACACATTATATAATTTCAAACGGATTGATGTGGCTCTAGAGTCGTTACGGTTTATATGTCGTAAAGTTGAATTTATTTATGCAGATTAGTGCAGATAGTAATAATAATAATGATGATAATTTTAATATAAAAACGTTAATGATTAATCGATAATCGATCGTTAATTCTTCCGACGATCGATTAAGAAAATTTCACCGAATGCCCGTCCCTAGGATGGACACTTTCACATTCCATTCTTCTATGATGGCCATGTTAAAAAGTGACAGGCCTCTACTGTATCCATTCCACTTTTGATTGTTGTAGCTTCCACCTTGCCTGGTCATCCACCCCATCCTGCATCATCAAAATTTGATTCCGGCAGAGGGCCTATGCCCATAGGATCTCATTTACAGAACCTTATTTTCTAAGTTTTCCTCACGGTCCAATCAAATGACTGGATTAAAAAAAAAAAATCGACCTACAGCTAGCAAGACACTGACCGATGTGACCGTTAGGATGCTGATTTAGGTTGATTGGATTTGAAAACAGTCATTTGATTGGATATTTTCTCTGACAAATTTGAATCATGTTTTAAGACTTGTATTTGTTTTAGCTGGGGTTACTATTGGGTGAATGCTCACCATTTTCATTATACTGAGAAACGGATATTAGTGTTGGCAATTGTTTGTATTGTTGATCAATTTAGTTAATGATAAGCAAGCACACTTGCAAGTTTGAGCATGGGATTGTACAGTATATAGACTAAATATCTGCTTTTGCTGTTTGCACTGTAATACCCTGATAACATGTAGACCATTGCCAGTTCTGGTCCTAGAGGGCTACTCATCTTGAGGCTCTCTCCAGTCCTAACCTAGCACATCTCATTCATCTAATCAGCTGCTTGCCAGGTCCTAAATTACCTAAATATACATGTGTATTAGGTGACATTTTGAAAGCCTGCACATACATTAGTTTTCCAGGACCTGTGTCGAAGACCTCCGATCTAGATTCAGTCGGAATAAAATTTCATCTTAATTATTAATCTAAGCAATACAGATCAGTAGCTATTAGTTACAATATATAATGTATTGTTTGTTTAAACTGTTTTCATTTGTGTTTATTAAAGAGCAAAGAGAAGATTCCTTTTGGGCTTGATCTTTCTGACTCCAGTATGAAACATGGAGAGGATGATGCTCGACAAATGATTGTGCCAAGGCTTAGGAGGACCAAAAGCATCTTTGTAAGTCCCACCAACAAATGTGTCATTTCCATGTACTATAGATATCTTCATTGTGTTTAGTTGAGTGGTCAAATGATTTGTAAAGTTATGACTATATGTGACGGGTTGTATGCGTACCCTCCCTTGAACAGGAGGCAGACCTCTGGTGGGCAGAACCAGCCAGTTTGCATTCATCAAGTGAGGCGCGGGTGTTATCCTACTGGGAAAACACCTGTTAACCATTTGCTACCTGTTTATTTGCGCTTGTAAGCTCTCGGTTCCGCCACTTAGCCTCTTTACATGAACAAATTGTGTCCAGTGAAGTTGGCTTTGGATCTGCCACCTACGTGACGGGTAAAATGCAGTGCAAATTTTGTTGCGTGCTGTGCTGGGTAAACACAAGGCCATTGGGTGCTGTTTGTTCTGTTTGCTTTAAACAAAGGAAAAAAAAAAAATTGTCCAAAAAATGTTAAATCCATCCAACCAGGAGTAGAGACATGCATAGACATCAGACGTACTGTCATCATGAAACACAGTTATCCAATCTATCTGTAAAACACATATTCTAATATGTAACCCGTGTCAATTAGCCCACTTCCGGTTACAACTTTATCTGTGAAATAAAAGTCTCAAAATGAGGAAGGTTTGAGGCTGAATGTTTATTCATATTTGATCAGCGAATGAAGCTGTAGCTTTAGGCCGGAGCCAGATTCACTGCTGGCCCTCAGACCTGGTCCTTTTGGGAGAGCTCCGAGAAGTCAGGTTAATCCGGTCCTCCTGAGCTCTCTTTCCTGTGGATACAGGCTGATGATGGGGCCCTGGAGAGCTCGGTGGCCCTGGTGGCCGTGGGGAATCTGGTGCCGTTGTTGAGCCTGTCGCCATTGTTGAGCTCGGTGGCCCTGGTGGCCGTAGGGAACCTGGTGCCGTTGTTGAGCCTGTCGCCATTGTTGAGCTCGGTGGCCCTGGTGGCCGTAGGGAACCTGGTGCCGTTGTTGAGCCTGTCGCCATTGTTGAGCTCGGTGGCCCTGGTGGCCGTGCGGAATCTGGTGCCGTTGTTGAGCTCGGTGGCCCTGGTGGGTGCTGGTCTTGGGACTGGAGCTCCTGTGTTTTTTGCTTACAGACGCCTGCTCCTCGCGTTTGCGTTTTAGCCCAGAAGTTTGTCCTCTTGAGGCTACCATAGTGGGAGGAGCCTTAGAGGACGGGGCGGGGTCTTGAGCACTTTGACTCACTTTGGACAGAAGCCAGTGGCTCTGCATCACACTGAAAGACAAGACACAAACACAGTTAGTGATTTAAAGGAGAAATGCTGCCCCCGTGTCTGTGTACACTGGTGTATGTAGTATGTAGTATGTAGTATGTAGTATTTCTGTGGTGTAAAGTGCTTTGAGCGCCTGGAAGGTAAAAATGTGACCATTTAATAGTCTTTATGCCACTGCTGCTCAGGTTTTGGAGGTAATGCATGTCTCCTCTCTTCTTTTCTGCAGTGTGAAGTTTGAAACAGACATCTTCTGGTTGGTGGGCGACCACTCAACCTACTGCACCGCTGCCTCCACCCTTCTAAAGTTCCTCTGCTCATTCGTTTCCATTGACATATAGTGACGTGTGTGTGAGGGGACAGTGGGTACTCACTAGGCGCCGCTGAGGTGGCTCATGGTGAGGAAGGGGTGCTCGAGCACTTCCTTGGGGCTGATCCTCGTCTCTGGGTTGAGGTCCAGCATACGTATGAGCAGGTTGACAAAGACGGCCCGGTCGTGCTTCTCTGTGGGGGTACAGGAGGCCAGAGGGCCCCGGGGGTCTCTCTGAAACACACACACACACAAAGGGTCACATCTGCACCTGTGGCTCTACTTTACAATGTTACAATCACAAGTGTGACATCAACTGCCCCAACCATATGTGAGCTGAATCTATCAACACAACTGTGGCTGGAGGTGGGGATGTACCTTGCTCAGGAGCACTACAACACTAGTGTGAAGCAGCAGCACTTGAGTCGGTGGCCAACACCTCTTTTGTTTTTCAAAACCCTAACACACGACTTTGAGACAGTTTAGGACTCAACCTGTGCCCTGAGTAAAAATGAGGTGTGCTCTCACCTTGTGGATGTTCTCCAGACGTGTGACCCTGCGAGTGGACAACAAACCACTCTGAAACAGGAGCACACAATTACATATATATATATATATATATATATATATATATATATATCACACACACAGAGTGATGACACGTATAGCAGTGAACAGAAGGAGCTGGACGTACCTTATATGTCCACTTGTCTCTGTCCTGGGAGTGGCTGTAGAACATTTTGGTCCGGAGACCCTGGTCCAGACAGGACTTGTGAGGGTGTCCCACAGTCTCCACAATGAGCCTCATCATGTCCCGCTCGTCTCTAGCCTGAAACAGAGGAACTCCCAAGAACATCTCAGCGGCAATGCAGCCCACGGACCACATGTCTATGGCCCCATTGACAGGGGCCCGGAGGAGGCTCTCTGGAGCTCTGCACACACACATTATTGACAAATGAACAAATGATTTCAAACCACAGTTTAAAATACTTTGATTATAGCGAGAACATACAGGAGTATGCTACTACATTATAGGATTTATTCTGAACTGTGTACTGTCGTACCTGTACGGCAGAGTCTGTCTCTCCTTTGTCAGATCGGCCTTTCTCACTAAACACGCCAGGCCAAAGTCAATGATTTTGATGGACAGCGGCTTCTTCACGTGTTCCTCCATCATGATGTTCTCTGGTTTCAGATCAGTGTGCATGATGCCCTCACGCTGAAGGAACAGGAGAGCTCGGGCCATCTGCAAGCACACGTTACACACAGGACACATGTTAGTACAATATCACGCTTGATGACACACTTGATTATTTTGTCAAAGTGTGCTGCAGGGGCGTGTGTCTGTACCTGCCAGATGATCGGGCGAATCTCCATGAGGCTCAGACTCTTATAGGGCGTCTGGCTGAGAAACTGGGCCAGGCTGATGTCCAGCTTCTCAAACTCGTGGAAGAATCTTCCAGAAGACCAAAAGGAGCCGAGCCAGTGCACCATGTGGACGTGGTGTGCGCCGTGTGCAGAGAGGACCTGGAGGATCTTCAGCTGTCAAAAATCAGATCTATTCACGGTTATCTGATTGTGAGTGATCTGATTCTGAGTGATCACATTTGTACTGGCCATGTGAGTGTGCCCTCATGTAGATGTGAGAAGAACCTGTGCAAACTGACCTCTTGAAAACATGCTCTCAGGGCACATGGGCCTTTCAGGATCTTGAGCGCCACCGTCCGGTTGGTGGTGCGATTGTGACAGAGAGCGACATCTCCGTAGATCCCTGAGCCCAGCAGACTCTGCAGCTCGTATACGGTGGAGCTCGTCTCGATCAGGTCTCCAGACTTCAGTGTGGACGCCATTATATGTGGAGGGTTACAACTGTGTGCAAGTACAAATACTGACACAGGACACAAGTACAAGCACAGGTCGGAGCTGTGTACAAGTGCAAGTACAGGTGTTGTAAAGGTAGGGGTACAGGTACAGGTATCCTAAGAGCAGGAGTACAAGTATCTAGAAACAGGAGCTGTGTAAATGCATCTTCACTCTTCAGAGAAACAAATACAAGTGAGTGGCGAACGCTGAGAATCAAGCTTATAGAACAGCTTATAGAACACGAGTGACCACGGCAACACACATTTCTATTGACTTTGCTCATCATCGTTTTAAATCAAAGCAACTCCCCGTTGCCACGACGTTGCCATGGCGTGTATGGCATCGCATTCCGAAATCTTCTGAAACTGTTATATAAGACCGGTCACTTTTTATCTGGTCATTTTCACTGAGACCTTTGGAGTAAACACACACTTTGGAGAGAGCTCAGAACACTTTTTGTTGGAAACCCGTCGTTGGACCAAGTTTGACTTTAGTACAACTATGTCGTCTTGGGACACTTATGAGACCTCTGGTGCAGCAGGTAATCCACAAAAACCACACAGGACTCACTCAAGACACATCTCAAAAACAAGCGTTTCCAGTGACTCTCAGTCACTTTTCTGTGGAAATATTTAGGTTTTAGTATAAGAAACAACCACCCACTTCTGCACACAAACATTTAACACGTTATGAAAGTCAGTTTGACATGAAAACCAAGTTAGGTCTAACCAGGTCTAAAATCTGGTCTAAACCAGGTCTAAAATCTGGTCTAAACCAGGTCTAAACCAGGTCTAAACCAGGACTAAAACCAGGCCTAAACCAGGACTAAAACCAGGTCTAATCCAGGACTAAACCAGGTCTAAAGCAGGACTAAAACCAGTTCTAAACCAGGACTAAACCAGGTCTAAACCAGGTCTGAACCAGGTCTAAACCAGGACTAAACCAGGTCTAAACCAGGACTAAAACCAGGTCTAAACCAGGACTAAACCAGGTCTAAACCAGGACTAAAAACCAGGTCCAAAACCAGGTCTAAACCAGGACTAAACCAGGTCTAAAACCAGGACTAAACCAGGTCTAAACCAGGACTAAAACCAGGCCTAAACCAGGTCTAAACCAGGTCTAAAACCAGGTCTAAACCAGGTCTAAACCAGGACTAAACCAGGACTAAACCAGGACTAAACCAGGACTAAAACCAGGTCTAAACCAGGACTAAAACCAGGTCCAAACCAGGACTAAACCAGGTCTAAACCAGGACTAAACCAGGTCTAAACCAGGAGTAAAACCAGTTCTAAACCAGGACTAAACCAGGTCTAAACCAGATCTAAACCAGGTCTACAGCAGGACTAAAACCAGTTCTAAACCAGGACTAAACCAGGACTAAACCAGGACTAAACCAGGGCTAAAACCAGGACTAAACCAGGGCTAAACCAGGTCTAAAACAAAAACAGGACTAAACCAGGTCTCAAATCAGGACTAAACCAGGACTGAACCAGATCTAGACCAGGCCTAAAACCAGGTCTAAAACTAAACCAGGACTAAACCAGGTCTAAACCAGGTCTAAAATCAGGACTAAACCAGGAGTAAAACCGTCTAAACCAGGACTAAACCAGGTCTAAACTAGGACTAAAACCAGGTCTAAAACTAAAACAGGACTAAACCAGGTCTGAACCAGGTCTAAAATCAGGACTAAACCAGGACTAAAACCAGGTCTAAACCAGGACTAAACCAGGTCTAAACCAGGTCTAAAATCAGGACTAAAACCAGGTCTAATGCAGTACTAAACCAGGACTAAACCAGGTCTAAACCAGCTCTAACATCGGGATTAACCAGGTCTAAACCAGGTCTAAACTAGGACTAAACCAGGTCTAAACCAGGACTAAACCAGGACTAATCCAGGTCTAATCCAGGACTAAAACCAGGTTTAAGATCAGGACTAAACCCGGTCTAAACCAATTTGAAGAGAACAAACATGAATTTGCAGGATGTGGTTGCTACATTTCATGTCGTTTTAAAAAGCACGACAATATCAAGTAATCCAAAGTATTCAGATTACATTACTCACTTTAAGTAATTTAATAGATTACGTTACAAACTACATTTTGGGGTCTGTAATCTGTAGGGGAATACATTTTAAAAGTAACCTTCCCAACACTGGTCGTAGTAATTGTTGTAGCAGTAGTAGTAGTACTAAGTTATTTTAAAGGTAACAGTGGTATTTTGCAATTGGACAACAACAATGCAAGTAGCAGAAGAAAATCCTGTAGAAGTGTCCAGTGCATTTGACCCTGATGAAGTCTTGTCTTGTCTTTCTTGTCTAGCACCTCAGCACAGTTCAGAGGTCACCATCGGTCACACCCTGCAGGGCCGGACCGACTCTTACTCCGTCCTGCAGTGGCTTGGTGAGGGCTGCTTTGGCCGCGTAGCCAAGTGCCACGCCATGGACCAGGACCGGATTGTGGCTGTTAAGCTCCTCAAAGAGCAACAGTTTAAGGAGAAGGAGCACGAGGTAAGTCAGGTTTGTCAAATGAAACTGGAGGGTCAGAGTCACACAGACTTCTGTCCTGATTCAAATACAGTTTTTGCAAAGATTTGATTTTATATTGGCAGAGGTGCAGAGGTGGTAGAGCCAAAAGCTAATTGAATTTAGAGGACTAAACAGAACATGAGCTAGAGTCTACCAGTATTTGCTTTGTTAAATGCACTTTTTGACCAGTATTATGTCATGCATTTGACTTCACAGTTTGAACTCAAATCTATGTCTCTTTAGGTGTCCATGATGGAGGAGCTCAGTGTCCTCGACCCCAGCCACACAAACATCGTGTGCTTTGTGGAGCAGTTCGAGGTCATGGGCCTTCACTGTCTGGCCTTTGAGATGCTGGAAGTGGACCTCTATTCGTTCATGTCAAACAGGAACTGGGTACCACTCCAGCTAAATGAGATCCGGCCTATTGCCCACCAGGTACTAAAGGATTTACTGTAAATATTATGTTGCAACATGAAGGCCTTGCACCAAAGGTTTATGGTTTCAAAACTGATCTAGTTCATATTAAACTGTTAGCGTCACTTTGTTCATTTTTAGCGCATTTCTTACATCCCAATTCTCAGCAATTTGAAGTTCAACCTTTTTGTCAATTCTTTTTCCCTCTTGTGTCTTTGCAGTTGTTGGTGGCTCTAGATGCACTAAAAGGGCTTGGTATCGTACACACCGATATCAAGCCCGATAACATCATGTTCGTTGACCTGCAGGAGCACTCTTTAAGGGTCAAATTAATTGACTTTGGAGAGGCCAGGAAGGCCTCCCGAGTCCAGCTGGGGGCCACGCTCCAGCCGTGTGGATCCAGGTACGAGGCAACTCACACTAATATCAGGAGGAATACAGTGGGCATGGATTTTTAAAGGAGACATATGTTTGCGTCCCTTATATTTAGTTATATTATACTAAATACATTCATCACTTTAAACTGCAATATTGACCTAAAATAGTCATAGTTTAGAAACAAGCCTGCTTTTTTGTATAATATGTCTCCTTTAAAATATGACCAGAGCACATGACTAAACCAGGACTAAACCAGGACTAGTCTGAACTTTGTCTTTGTTTTCCAGAGCTCCTGAGGTCACACTCGGTCTTCCGTACACGGAGGCCATTGATGTGTGGGGGGTTGGCTGCATTCTAGCCTTTCTCTATCTGGCTGACAACCTGTTCCCAGTCACTTGTGAGTACCAAGCGGTAAAGCGCCTGGTGACTTTACTGGGTATGCCACCTGACCACCTGCTAGAGGCTGGACTCCATAGCAAGAACTTCTTTACCTAAGTCCAGTCCTCGAACGGCGCAGCATGGAGACTTCTGGTACTTATTCACTTTGTTTCTTGTTAATATTGAATCGTTTTAGTTTGATATGTCCAAAACTAGCCTTATAATTTTACTCACACTCTTGTCAATGTACAGACAGCTGAAGAATATGCTGCCAAATACGAAACCACCACTCAAGAGGAAAGCACCTACTTTGAAGTCCCCAGCTGCTTGGACAGCCCTGTCTGTGTAAGTCTCCACGACTGATCAACACTCGCCCTCATAATGCACATCTGTATTTCACAGAGTCTAATCAGTGTTTGTTTTGTAATGGACAGAACCCTCCTGATAACTCCAACGCCAAGGTAGAGGACAGGAAGGCCTTCCTTGACCTCCTGAAGGGGATGTTAAATATGTTTTGGAGATCAGAGACTGACTCCCAGTCAGGCCCTCCAACATGCTTACATAACAATGGGTCATCTGCAAGAGGCTGAGCTCCAGGGATAGTAAGTCTACACATCTCAACCACACAGTTATGTAAAAACCCAAAGAGTTTGTGGGGACTAATTTGTGTGTGTGTTTTTTTAGCTTCATGATCTCAGAGGAGTTGATGTCCATATGTCCATCAGTGGACTCCTCCTCAAGTCCCCCGGAGGATCAAGCTTCTGTCTCACATGAAACAACTGAAGTCGAGACAGATGCTCCTAAATCAGCCACATCTACAGGCCAAGACTCTGGCATCTGGTCCATTTGTGGACAAGCTTCTTCTGCGCCCCCGAGCTCCTGGGATGAAAATGAGCCCATTAACATCTCCGAGAGCTCTGAACTTATAGTCCTCCCTGGGTCAGAAGAAACACACCTGATTGCTGGAGTAGAGGACACAGACACCTCTCCTGTGACCAAAGCTCCGGCAGTGGACTCTTCTTCAAGTCCCCTGGAGGAGCAAACAGTGACTGAAGCTCCAAAACGCTTTTCTTTTGGGAGGATTCGCACAGTGCTACGGCGAGTCGTAGGTGCTGTGTGTCCCTCTGTGTGTCCACAAGGAAACCACTGAGTCTCCTTCCATTTATATTATGAATAAATATTTTATTATTGCACATCCATGTGTTCTGGTCTAATTTTGACTTTAACAGATTTTATAGACATAATAAATATGTCAGTTGGTCTCCATTAAGTAGAATCACAAGTGGGAAAAGATATGATACTATTGGAGTAAAGGATAGAATGGTAAATATGTACTTTTGTCTTACGATACAATAGAAATTATAGTTTTATAATGACTAAAATCATAGTTGCAGCCCTTGTCAACATAAACTACATTTAATTAGGGCTGCTGTGGTTTGTAAGAGAAAAGAGGTTTTCAGGATTTTCTGAAAGTCAGTAGTTGCAAGTGTATTCTTAGAATAAGAATTACAATTTGATCATAAATATCCTTGTACCTTTTTTATACACCACAAATTGTTGGGTTTGGTCTTCGCTCGGTTATAGATATCCATTCTGTCATATTTCAGTAGAATAACAATAAATATCCTTCAACCTTCACCTTATTAGACCACAGAATAATTACAAAGACTACCAAGGGATAGTGGTGTAGACTGTCCCCCAAAAGTACTTCCAAGTGTACAGTAGACCTGTGATGATAATTACTATATATCCACTTATAGTTCAAGATGGAACAATATATATTTAGGCTCTATATTTAGTCAGTCGTCTGTATATTTTCTTTGCAATAATGATTACATTTTTCTGAATTTTGTTTTTTGTTTTAAGGACACAACAACAGTTTTTGTGATTAGCGCCCCCCTGTGGCTCCTGATTGAGACAGACAACGTGCACTGACAGATAAGTGAAGGGACGTTTGAATCACCCTCTGTGTGCATGTGTGTGTGTGTGTGTGTTTGTTTTTATTACTATGTGGGGAACAAGACCTGACCGCTAGAGATGCGCGGATGGGCTATTTTTTCATCCGCAACCGCGACACAAAACTCATCATCCGCCCGCTATCCATTTTGCACCGAAGGTTTTCAAAACCGCACCCGCCCGCCATCCGCCGATTGATTTTAGATTTTAGAACAATCATACAGCAAACAAACTAAGGAGCTTCGATAAAAATGCAAACTCTATAGCTCATTCATTCCAAAATTCGCTCAGCGTGTATGTTCGCATTCTTAATTGTCAGAGTTGGCGTCAGAGCACATCTACTGGAGGGGCATGGGTCACCAGCAGGGGGGGCACTGCCATTTGAGAAATATTTTAACGCGGTGGAGTCATACACAGCAGACATGCTATCAAACACGTTTTTCTTTAACAGTATTAGGCTAATTGGCACTCGCCACTATCAAAGTTAGGGGCGAGGGGTATTGTTCTTCGTCGGTTTCTTTTTTTTTTTTTATTCCCTTTTCCGACCAAACGATCGCATTTTTGACCCCCTGAACATGGACGAAAAGTCCCCAAACCGGGGTCCAGATCGATCGGCCCGGCGAAAAATTCGATAAAATGGGCATCGCAACAATGACCCGAGTGACCCGACTCAACAGCGCCACCTAGAATTCGACCCCTATGGGAGTGGGGACAGGCAAAGTTTGTCGCAGGGAAACGAAATTCGGAACAGTGATAGAGAACAATGAGACAAGCCAAAAGATGAATTGGAGCATGACCCTATGACGAACAGGAAGTCGGCCATATTGGATCAAACATTCGGCGCCGTTTTGACTTGGGGGTCTACAAAAAGATTCAAGTCCCCGGGGTTTGGTCCAAATGAGCTCAGATTTGACATGTCACATCTACAGACATGAACTCACAGAAGTTGCCAAATTTTTTTGGGATACTCCTTACGGTTTGCCCGTAGCACGCCGGCGAATAACGCCTTCATTTCCTGTTTTTTCGGTGACCTGTCACGGCCACAGGCATTGTCCTAGAGAACTCAAATTCAAATCACAATTGCGTGATCCAGACCTGAATGTAATGAAAAATGAAATTTAATAAAAGTGAACTCTATAGCGCCCCCTAGCATAGACATGAAACGTCAACATTATTGGATTTGTACCAAATTCGGGAATTAAATTCTGCCCATGATTACAAGCAAAAAAGTTTATTACAGACATGATGCATTTTCCACCATTGGCCAGCAGGGGCGCAAAGACTCCCCCAAAAAATAGTAAAAAAATTATTATATGCCCATGTTTAATCGGATCGTGCTGAAATTTCAATCAATAATGCATGATGTGAGCCTGAATATAATACACTACAAAACAGATGAAAAGTGAACACTATAGTGCCCCCTAGCATAGACATGACCTGTCAACATTATTGGATTTGGACCAAATTCAGGGAATAAGTTCTATGCATGACTATGAGCAAAACATAAATAACGGACATGGTGCATTTTCCACTGTTGGCCAGCAGGGGCGCATTCACTCCTAAAAATATTTAAAGGGGCATTATGTAATGTGTCTAATGGACGAGCTGTCGGCCTGGGCGGTGTCGGGAAGACAGGGTGGCGTGACGGGGCAGTCGCGAGTCCCAGGCGGTCGCGTGGGGGGGCGGTGCGTGCCGGGGCGAGGGCCACCATCGCCGCGCGCGGCTTTAATTTATCTTATTCTTTAATTTTGGGATCTTTCAATACTATAAAATTATGTTGTTTATTTCTGTAATTTTCATATAATTCCATGGAAATACTGAATGCATAGAATCTTGGCACCAAAATAAAACGATACATTTTTTCTGTAACCTCAAGAGTCAATAATTTCACTATAACATTATATTATAATATAACTATACATTTATTTTATGCTATTATCCATATTGATACATCCATATGGTCCAGCTCACAATTTTCAAATAGATATTGTTTCGGTTTATTCATAACAAAATAAAAACAAATCTCTTCACATTAAAAGAGGTGCAGAGCATTACTGGGTCATAAAAATGTCTTTAAAGTCTCAGTACAGGTGCTGCTCGAGGGTTGAGCTTAAATCTCGGCAAAATAATGGCTCATAATGTAATGCCCTGATCAAAAATCTTTATGCCCTTCCCCAGGTAATAAAAGGACTTTTAATATAAGCAGTTGCTGTGTCTCAGGTTTGTACCGTGCCTATTTTTACATTATCAAGTCAAGGCCACAGTCTGCTGCATAAAATTTCTTTCTCTAAACTCTGAACGCTGCATCAAATCCAGTGGAAATAAAAGTACTACTGTAGTCAAGTAAAAATCTTACATATGTGCACTTTACTTTGTGTAACTTTTCTGGTGGAGCGACCGTCATATATTTTTCTCTGTGGAGATGTTATTGATTTGTATGGAATATTCCACAGTATGGCATTAAACCTTTCTATCTTCATGGAGACCAAATCAAACCAAGTTACAGGTCAGATGTGTGGAGAGGCGACCCCGCTCACAGTCAGAAGATCTGATTTTCTAGGTATTTTTGAACTGTAAAACCACCTGTAATTGAATAAATGTAAAGTAGATCTGTTTAATGTCGTACTGTGGAACATTCCAAGCAGAGCAGTGACCTAACCATAGAAACAAACAGGTGATGGATCCTGCACCAGAAAAGTTACACAGTTCATCTTTAAGTACATTTTAAAGTAGATTCTTTTGTCACTACATCTAAGAGAAGGTATCACAACTTTACTTCATTTTTGAGCACAATTGAAAAGTAAAAGTATTTTCTATTTTAGTCTGAGACCTGCTGAAAAGCCTGAGGGGTTTATTTTTTATTACAGTCATAGACAGGTATTTTCTGTTCAAATCACATCTTTTTAAAGGTGAAATCTACAGCCAGTTCTCTCCATAAAAACACCCAGGCTGATCATTGACGATTATACTGAATACTAAACCAGGACTAAATCAGGGCTAAAGCAGGACTAAACCAGAACTAAACCAGGGCTAAACCAGGACTAAACCAGGACTAGACTAGGACTAGACCAGGACTAAACCAGGACTAAACCAGGAATAAACCAGGATTAGACCAGGACTAAACCAAGAGTAAACCAGGAGTAAACCAGGGCTAAACCAGGGCTAAACCAGGGCTAGACCAGAGCTAGACCAAGACTGGCCCAGGATTAAACCAGGACTGAACCAGGACTAAAGCAGGGCTAAACCAAAACTAAACCAGGACTAAATCAGTTAGTTTGAGATCTGGTGAAAAGCCTGAGTTTTTTTTTTTTTAATACATTCATAGTTTGAGCAAACAAACATGTACTAATAAAAACAGCTAAGAAAAAAATATGTTTCAGCACAAAAATATATCAGAATCACTACATTTGAAGACCTCAAACTGCATGAAATACTTTGACTTTTTACTCTTTAATTACATTTTTAAACAGGTATTTTCTGCCCAAATCACAAATCTACAGCCAGTTCTGTCAGTAAAAAGAACCCGGCTGATGATTGAAGATTATACTGAGTGATGGAATCTTGATCAAATAAATTATTAATAATATCTTCAGAGAGATCTAGTTTTCAGTCTTTAAAAATGAAACCACACAGATTGTAAGTTTTACAAAACATAACTTTATTTGTAAATGCAGTAATATAACATTTTCATTACAAAACGGGTCACTGCATGTATTGCTTCTTAGCTCCTGATCAGAACAGCAGCTCGTGAAACCTGCGCACACCTTTTCAGTCTCATCTCATGTAAACGCAACACTAATGTTTAGTGTATTCACAAACCTAAAGTAAAGCTGCTTTCAGAACCACAAAATCCAAAGTACCATTTCAAGAACTAAAAGTTGACATAAAAACACAGATAGTTTGAGCACTTCCAGTTTGGATGCAATAAAATATTCACTTCATGAACAAAAATGCCTTTAGACAACACAGCAAAAGAAGTTCATAAATAAACACAGAAACGTTCAATACTAAATCGACTATAAAGACTTCATGCACGGACTGGGATTATACTGCCCGAGCGAAAACAACGGCAAGTGAAACACACCATGTTCACGTCATCAAAACTGGGGCTAAACCAGGACTAAAACAGGAATAAAACAGGACCAGACCAGGACAAAATCAGAGCTAAACCTGGACTAGACCAGGACTAAACCAAGTCTAGACCAGGGCTAAACCAGGACTAGACCAGGACTAGCCCATGGTTAAACTAGGACTAGACCAGGGTTGAACCAGGTCTAGACCAGGGCTAAACCAGGACTAGACCAGGGTTGAACCAGGTCTAGACCAGGGCTAAACCAGGACTAGACCAGGTTAAACTATGGCTAAACCAGGACTAAACCAGGAGTAGACCAGGACTAAACCAGGTCTGGACCATGGTTAAACTAGGACAAGACCAGGACTAAACCAGGGGTAAAGGATTTAGAGAAATGTTGATTAATGTACACTGTTCCTGCTAAATAAACCAAATAAATAAATAAAGATAAAAACAGGACTAGACCAGGACTAAACAAGGACTAACTCAGGACCAAAGCTGGTGTTAACTAGTGTCATCAAGATACAAAAATTTCAAACTCAATATATACTTGTTATTAAGGAAAACACTTGATATTTGATATTCATTTTGATACCACAAGACTCATTTGATAAAGTTTAATAATTTAATCCTTCGAAAACTATTCGGGAAAGGTCCAAATTTGTCAGATTTTTCCAGTTTCTTTTCAGAATCATACTCGTTCTCTTTCTCTACTTTCAATGTTTGTTTTAACATCATGTAGTACCTGGGGATTGATTGCGTTCTTTTTCTAACCATCGTGTGAACACAGCCATACAGTCCCTGACAAAAGTCTTGTCACTTATCCATTTTGTAGAAACAAAAGCTTATAACTTGACTTTAAATTAATAGATTGGTTTTAGAAATGTCTCATATGAAAGCTAAAACCCTCCCAAATTATGCTCAATAAACTAAAATAAATTTGCTTCACTGAAAAAAGATTGATCACAGAAAGGTCAGATTTTGGCAAGACAAAAGTTTTGTCGCCTACAGAAAATTTTACAAATAATTTACTTCAAATACAAAAATATGTTGCATAATGTCAGTGAATTAAGTAGTGGTGCTGTGAGATCCATATTTAATATCTTGTATGACTTCCAGGAGCTTGAAGGACGCATCCATGCGGTTTGACAATGATTCATACAATTTGTTGATGAAGTCATCAGGAATAGCAAAGAAAGCGTCTTACATGCCTCCCAGAGTTCATCAAGATTCTTTGGTTTTGCCTTCCATGCTTCCTCTTTCATTCTAGCCCAGACATGCTCAATGATGTTCATGTCTGGTGACTGGGCTGGCCAGTCCTGGAGCACCTTCATCTTCTTCGCCTTGAGAAACTCTGATGTAGAGATAGAAGTTTGCGATGGAGCACCATCCTGCTGCAAAATTTGACCCCTTTTATGGTTGGGAATGTAAGAGGAGCTAATACTTCTTGATATTTTAGGTTATTGATATTGCCTTCCACCCTGCAAATGTCTCGCACACCCCCATACTGGATGTAACCCCAGACCATGATTTTTCCGCCACCAAACTTAACTGTTTTCTGGGTGAATCTTGGATCCATGCGGGCTCCAGTAGGTCTCCTGCAATATTTGCGGCGGCTGTGATGTAATTCAGTCGAGGATTCATCTGAGAAATCCACCTTCTGCCACTTTTCCAGTGTCCATCCTTTTAGCAGGCTGTGGGCCTTGGCAAATGCCACATGGTTTTTTAATTGCCTTTTGTTTAGTGCTGGTTTCTGTGCACTGATTCGACCATGGAGGCCATTTTGAGACAGAATTCTACAAACTGTTCAGGTTGACACAGGGACTTGAGGTGACCAGGCCTGGTGGAGTCTGCTGCAGTGGAAAAGGGGCTGTCCTTGGATTTTTGAATCAACAAACGGTCCTCCCAAGCAGTTGTCTTGCGGGGTCTGCTGGACCTGGGCTTGTCAAAAACATCTCCAGTCATTTCAGATCTTTTTCTTATTCTTTGTACTTGACGCTGAGACACATTGAAGGTGTCAGCCACCTCAGCAGTGGATCTGGTCTTCAGCCTCTTGATAATTAACGCTTTGGTCTCAGGGTGGATCTTAGGCATGTTGTCAGAGGTCAAGTTGCAGTTGATGTGAAGGTCTGGTGTGCTGGGCTTCTTTTTATACACACCCACTAACTGATTGATCAGTAACTGACCACAGGTGAGGCTGTAATCTAGGATTGGGTGCATCATAAGACAAGGCGACAAAACTTTTGTCTTGCCAAAATCTGACCTTTCCGTGTTCATTAAATGATCAATCTTTTTTCAGTGAAGCAAATTTTTTTTAGTATATTGAGCATAATTTGGGAGGGTTTTAGCTTTCATATGAGACATTTCTAAAACCAATCGATTAATTTAAAGTCAAGTTATAAGCTTTTGTTTCTACAAAATGGATAAGTGACAAGACTTTTGTCAGGGACTGTAGATCTCAGTTCAGTCTAATGGCTACATGGAGAATAACATCAGGAAACAGCATGCAGCTATCTTGAATTAATGATACTGTAATGAGGGGCACACCTGCTGAACATCTGTGAGGCTGAGTCAGGACAGCTGTCTGAGCGCTTCATATTACACATGCGGAATGTAAACAAAGAACAGTCCAATTTAAATCTGAGAACTATGTGACTGTAAACACCGTAAGACACAGGTTAGAATAGTGCTGTGGCCAGAATGAATTTGTTTATGTGCAACAGGCTCTCTTCACACTTGCGTCACAAACCAGGAAGACGTTTGGAAACATGTGATGACGACATAAGTAAATGTGATCAGCGTTGAAATGAAGACTGCAGACGTATGTGCTGTTTGGAATCATCTTGAATTTGGCGCCTGATCTCTTCTAATCACATGTACCCAGTGCACTCGGAGTTGTGCATCAGTGGGGAAAATGATAAAAACTGAGGTATGGTTGTAATTGTTGATTATCTGAACATAACGGAACACTACAATGACATGGAGATGAAGAAAACTGGGCCATTTTTTCATTTTTCCTAGAACAGAACCCGTCGGAAGTTGTAATTTAAGTTGCATCTTTCCAAACATCTTCCTGGTTTGTAACGTAAGCCTGAACAGAGCCTATATATAACTTTTCTGGTGGAGGGCGTGCCACCTGCTTTCTTCCACTGATGTAACTGCTTTCCTGGAATGCTCCACAGAATAGCATAAAATTTATTTATCTCCACGGAGACGAGCAGGCCAAGTCACAAGTCAGATTTGTGGAGAGGTAACCCCACTTACAGAAAGAATTCATGTTTTTCAAGGTATTTTGGAAATAAAAAATACAGTGGATTAATATAAATTAGAAATATCGAATGCCATACTGTGGAATATTCCAGGCAAAAAATAAAATCTGTGTATCATTTGTTTATTTGTTTTCCAAAATAAAACCAAAAATAAGAAAATGTAAAAACAACAATTTTCTTTTAAAAAACAGATAATTATTTTTTTTTTCAGTTTTTGATTTTGTGTTTAAATGAATAATCGAAAAAACGGATAACGGCCATTTCCCATTTCTGTAACTTAAACTGCGATGCCGGACGTTAACACCGCATTCGGACTGAATTCGGACTGAATTCGGACTGAACCAGGACTAAACCAAGTCTAAACCAGGACTGAACCAGGAGTCGGGTCGTGCGCCTGCGTACTCTGTTGGGTGATCAGAACTGAGACTGGTATAGTCCTGGTTCAGCCCTAGGATGCACTTTGTGTTACATTTTTGTATGAAAAGTGCTTTATAAATAAAGTTTGATTGATAAAGTTTGATAGGATCAGTCCGTGTGCAGCGCAAAAGTCCAGCATCGCAGTTTAAGTCACGGAAATGGGAAACGGTCGTTATCTGTTTTTTCCATTATTCATTTAAACTCATAATCGAAATAAATCGTTATCCGTTTTTTTTTTTTCATTTTAGTTTTGGAGACAAATAATGAAGAAAATAGTTGTGAATGATACATGGATTTAATAACATCTCTGTTGAGACAAGCAGTCAGTTTAGCTGTCTCCTTAAAAGCTGAACACACAGTGCACTATTATGCACTACTTTTGCGATAAAAAATTTCCAAAATTGTGTGTTTTTTTTTGTTAGTTTAATCTACGCAAAATCTACAAATTTGCTTATTCACTGGTAATTTGGTAATGTCCATTATAAGAACATTTAGCAATGAACTAACCAGACAGCGCAGATTTGAGTCCTGCTTATTGTTGCAAAGTGCTTTTTCTGTTTCAGCATCGTGATCACTTTCACATTAGTGTAGTGTTCACACAATTACAGCGCCCTCTGTAAATATTGTCCCCATAGTAAAATCTATGGCAAAGTACTGTCGGTAACTTAGTGGTGTAGTTTTGGACACTTTCGGATTAAAAGACTCAACCCCATTGTGAGCAGTTCTCCAGCAGTGATTCATGGACTAAACCAGAAATGAACCAGGACTAAGCCAGGACCAAACCAGGACCATTGTAATTTGTAATGAATTTTGTAGCCACTGGAATCAAATACAAAGTCCTTTTTAGGCCGATAATACCACAGATCCAGAAATAGACGTTTCCTGAATGCTGGGAAGTCCTTGTTGCAATTTCCATTTCTTGGCACCAAAATCTACAAGAACAACATTTTCTTGGAGAAAAAATCTCAAAACAACAAAGTCAATTTTTTGCCTTATTTGCTAATATTTTTCACAGATACCAATTCTATGAAGGGCAGTGTATGTAAAATGTCCCTGTGTTTTTCAGCTAAAATCAGTGCGCAGCATCTACATCCTGGTTCTGATTCAGATTGTTCAAATTGTTTTGGAGCACTTGTTGCCGATGGTGACGATGTAGTTGGATGGCGTTAGAATCGGGGACTTCCAGTGGCTCGAAGGCGATCGAGACTTGGGGCATAAACTGTCTAAAAATGCTGACGCTGCCGTGCCAGAAAGTGCGCTGAGGTAGTCGTCCGGCCACAGACCAGGATCGGGTCCCGGGGTCGTAGGCTTCCACCACATCAGAGAGCTCAAACGTGTTGTCATAACCTCCAGAGACATAGAGTTTACCACCCAGGACTGACACACTGCCACCAACATGCACCTGCAAAAGAGTGACAGAGAGAGATTTGTGACTTCTCAAGATCTCAAGAACATATGACACAAGCACACTTTGAAACATTTCCAGATTGACAACTAAAATATATAAAAAAAATGTGAGGCTAAAATTGGGAACTGTATGCCACAATCTGTATACCGTATTATTCGGACTATAAATTGCTCCAGAGTATAATTTGCACCAGCCAAAAAATGTGTAATGATGAAGAAAATACGTACATAAGTTGCACCGGACTATAAGTCACACTTTTGGGGTAAATTTACTAAATCAGAGACCAATCATCTTGAAAGGCAAGTTCTAGTAGTAACAACAGAACAGAGCACAACAGACTGTTAATGTCACATATGAACAGTTCTTCAGATAACAGATATGACATAAACAACAGAACAGAACAAGTTTACCAAACTCTCCATCTCACTCTAAATCACTAAATTACTGTTGAATTCTTCATCCTCTGTCCCATCTGAGCAACTCGGGCGACCTCCGGAGGTAAACAGGGTGCCCTTTCCTCTTCTGTGTAGCTGTCGTCAGACTCAGCATCAGTTCCAGTTAGAATTATTCCGGCCTTTCTGAATCCCGACAGGGTGGTTTGGGTTGTCACTGAAGTCCAGGCTTTGTCAGTTCATCCAATGACTTCCAGGAAAGTTGCATGGTGCACCGGACAGGTTGCCGTGAAGCTGTGTTCTCTATTCACGCTTTTTGCAAGTCCCTCACAAGTTTCTCACTCACTCCAAACTTTCTCTCTGCTGCTCGATTACCGTTTTTGGCTGAATATTCCACTACTTGCAGCAGAACGGCTTTTTCTGCAGGAGACATGCGCAGTAGAGGGTGGAGTGACAGTGGTACAGGAGTAACAGGAGCAGCAGATACTGACACACAAGCCTAGGGCCTCTCACGGCTGTCAGTGTGAAAATGTTAATATATAATTCGCACCAGAGTATAAGCCATAGGAAACACCCAAACCATGAAAAAAGTGCGACTTATAGTCCGAAAAATACAGTAATGTATCTTGTCTTGTCTCATGTTTGTGGAGCCAATATCTGTTTACTTTTATTCATCCCCAAGGTGAAACTCTTACAGACATGGAGCCTGGTTTGACAGGGGAGATTTGGCCAAGCACATGCGTGTGTCATCTGTTATGTGCCTCTACATAGTATGTGTGTAGTTGTAAATAGGAATCCTATCTCACCTGTGTCATTGGGCTGATCTTGTCCCATTGGTTCTTCTGAGGATTGTACACATCCACCTCGGCTGAATCATCTCTGAGAATAGAAACAGAAGCAGAGTGAAGCCAAAGCTATAAAAAACATGGATTTACTCAAGCCTCACTGACAGGTACAGTAAAGCCACACAGAGTTATGACAGGAGAAATGGTTTAACAATATCACAGCAGCTTCAGCTTTGCCCCGGCGGCACATACCTCAAAGGCAGAGGACAAATTTCACCACGGGGGCAATAAATTGTATCTTAACCATGGATCTATAATAAAAAACTGGATAAGGGATTGCTCCTCTGTTCCTGGTTGAGGCCGACTAGTGGCCGCTCCAGGTACTGTAGCTCCCAGGAGCTTGGGCCCAGAAAGAATTCTCCCGTAGAGTGCATTTTTGGGGAATTCAAACTGCCCGTGTTCGGCTAACAGGGCATCTACAACTCTCACAAAGGTCAGATTTTGTAGGGATTCTTTTCTATTTTAACAACATAAACTTAAAAAAAAAATAAAAATCCTCAAAGTGCCTAAAAGTTAGCTTTCTCTCACTCTAATAAGCCTAGCTCAAGATCTGGAGATGGGTCTCCAAGCGCTGCACTGTACGGCCCACTGCTCCTGACAGGTTGCCCCAGCTGCACTATTTGAAAGATGGGTCAAATGCACTGAGTGAATGCCTTAACTTTAATTATCAAGGGTACCATTAGTTGTAAGGGGTTCTGTACGTGCTACATAAACTCTTCTTCCTCACCTGACAAAATAGATGAGCCCGTACAGAGTGACTGTTTTGGGGGTGAAAGACCAGGGCGGCAGCTGACCACAGTTCACCATAGTCCAGCGATTGGTCTCTGGGTCATAACTCTGGACGGACATAGTGTCCTCTCCAGCCAGGCAGCCGATGGCATACAGGCGCCCCCTGCAGGTGGTGGTGGAGCAGTTGTCCATGGGGTGCAGCATTGGGGGTAGGGCCTCCCAGCAGTCCAGGGCGTGATCGTATCTCTCGGTGCTGTCAGAGGCGACTACGTAAAGCTGTCCCTTTAAAACGCAGGAGCTGTGGTACTCTCGAGGCTTCAGCATTGGTGATACTTCGGTCCACTCGTTTACACTGGACTTGTATCGCCACACACCGTTGTAGAGTCGTGAACCGTCAGAGCCTCCTACAAGGCATGAAGACAGAACAAAGATTCAATAATGTTATGATTAGTACAAGTCATTTGAGACATTTTGCAGCTAATATCTCATATACTACTTTTCCACCTTCAAAGCACTCACCCATGCACACACACATTCATACACCACTGTATGCTGACACTAAGAGTGAGGCGGGTTAAGTGTCTTGTCAAAGGACATAACAACAGTAGTCATCTGTGGCAGCTGGGACAGAACTGCCAACCTGTGGGCCAGTGGGTCTGACTACTCTGACTACCAAAGGATGTTTATGCCAGGAGCCAGCTGCTATGGGGTATATTTAATTGCTTTGCTTGAAATGCTCCACAGTATGGCATTAAACTTATTCAATCAAGGTGTTTTATCAGTAAACACATGATTTTTTATTGTGAGCTGCCTCTCCACAGATCTGACCTAGAAGTTGGCTTAGCAATGTCATATACTTGTCTCAATGGCGCTAGATAAGGGTAGATAATCAATACGAGCCTCATTTTAAAAGTAGAAATACATGTAAAGTATTACTGATTCCAGACAAAGCAATCTTCAGCATCTCCATGGAGACAAGGCTGAACATGCACCAAAAAAGTTACAGTGTGCACCTTTAGTATTGCAAGTTCAAATTTAAAGTGAATCTAAATCTGCAAGTCAGTATTACGCAACACTGCTGCTGGTAAGTGTCACTGGAGAAGAAATCCTCCACCTCTAAATTTATATCTGTTTGTCACTTTCCTGCTATGACCTTGAATCATGGCGTAAACAGCTTGGATCATTTCTCAAAGGTGGTGGTGATCATGTTTTCAGATAAGCTTTTGTTAATGACAGGATTATGAAGCAGAGGGGTCTTGGCAGCACACAGCGTTCTTTTGTCTATTCACACGAAACGCCTTTAGCCAAAGACACTGCTATTTATTTATAAGCTCTATTAACAGCCAGTTTATAAGGTCTCTGGTCTAGAACACAAATAGAAAGATATCCAACGAAGCTAAAGGAAATCTAATGGCAATGCAACCTGGACACAGGCTAATTCTGGAGAGATCACACAAGTATACAGAAATAACACTTTACTATTAGAGCCGTAACTAATGATTATTTTAGTAGTCGACTTGTTAGCGATATGTTTTTGACTAGTCAAAAGAGTATTTCTGCATATTGATATTTTAAAACACAGTTTAACCAGCATAAAATACAAATATGTTAATGCAACTTAACTTAATCCATATCTTAAGGCATCTATTTAGAGAATATTTACAAGTGTATTATTGATTAAAATATCAAACCACTGACACATTTTTGATGTAATAATGCCAATTTCTTTGTTAGAGACTGTCCTTTGACATGTCTTACAGTCTGTATGATCCAGACAACAACTAACAATTATTAAAATGATTGTTATTTTTACAGTCGACTACAGACAATTATTCAACTTAGTTGTTGCAGCCCTATTTTTCATACAACCTTTGGCCACAGATAAATACTGTGTAATGCAGAGCAGCAAACTGACTTTAGTATGGTCTTCCTATAATGTGATCAGAAGTCCCACCTGTAACGTAGATGTCGTTGCCCAGTGCACTGATGCTGTAGCCTCCTCCCAGGTGATCAGGGAACTCAGCGAGGTACCTCCACTGTCCGGTCTGAGGGTTATAACAGTCCACGGTCACCAGCTCATCACAGTCCTGATCACAGCCCCCGATCACCACCAGGATCTCAGCGAGCCCGGTGGACGGCCGGGGCCTCATGCGCTGACAGGGCCGGTCATGGCGATCGTACTCACAGCTTTGGAAGCTGCGTGCCTCGTTCACCAGGCGTAGACAGGTGGGAGACAGGTAAACCAGAGGGTCACTCTCCACATGAGCCAGCAGGAAGAACCTGCGCACAAAGGGCAGTCGGACCTGCTGGAGCAGCTCAGGCCAATAGTGTAGTCTCCTCTGTAGATCGGCCTTCACCCAGCGCACCGCAATCTGATAAACTGTCTCCTCTTTGTCCACACACAGCTCATCGTCTGTCACAAACTCCAGCAGACGCTTCCATGGTAACCGCTCGAAGTCTGTGCCTTTGGCCAGCTCCATGATGTTCTTCAGCACAAACCTGCGTGCGCTAGCAGCTAGCTCTCTGCAGGCGTAGGCCTCTGCAAAGTCCTGTATCTCCAGACAGTTGGACACGTCCAGTCTCTGCTCCAGAAAAGCACAGCAGGCCTCTTTAACAGAGGGAAACTGGAAAAGGTCAGCGGTCTTCAGGAGAACGTCCACGTTCTCCTGCGTCACTGTGACTCTGCCTGTGTAACAGAAGTCCACCAGCAGCTCCAGCAGCTCTGCAGACACCTCATGTAGCACCACCCGGTCCATGGCACTCTCCTTCAGCGTCCCAGCGAACATGGCTCTGAAGTACATACTCGCAGCAGCCAGAACCGTGCGGTGACAGTGGAACTCTCGACCCTCAGCACAAAGAGTCACATCAAAGAACTTCCTCTCAGCACGCAGCTCGTGGATCCCCCTCAGGAGGTTAAAGGCGTGAGCTGTGTCAAAGAACGGCAGCGTGGAGGGCTGCGTCTGTAATACTGGATTCTCCATCTCCTCTGTCGCTCAGGTTAGGGGCTTAGTCTAAACAGACACACAACAGAACATTAATAATACCTTAAAAGAACACATTTTCTGTTATAAACCAAGAACCAATAACAAGAAAGACTAAAGAAAATATTAATAAAAGTGAATTCCTGCTACCTGTTTAAACTACAAGAGAAGTGACAGTACAACAGTCTAAAATATATGACAGGAAAGTCCAGAGCAGTTCGTGGTTCTTCTTACCGTCTTTAAGAAACAGAGCGTGCCTGTGCAGTGGGGCTATAAATACACGAGTGTCCATTTCCAGAGGGAGGGTGGATGAGAGAGTGGGGGGGGTTAAGGGGGAAGTTTTGGGCTGTCCTCACTCTCTGTCCCGGGTCTATGGTCAGTGAGCTGATCCATACAGCCTCATCAGCACTACTCACCACTTCCAAGTGTTATGTCTCATCTCTAAGTAGGCCCACAATAATTATACTAAAGAATTTGCAAACAATATTTCCAATTTGGACCCAATAGTTTTAGAATGGTCTTGATCTAAATCTGAATTAGTATAAAAACACACAGTTATATTAAAGAAAGAAGTAATGTTGACACCCTGACATTCTGTTGAAGAGAGCGCTTACTATGGTGTTATGTTACCAAATAAGTATATGGACTTTTCCTTGGTATTGAAATCAAGTTTGAAATGTTTGTATCATGACTGTACTACCTCTCAAAGTGAATTACAAACACAAGGTCTACAAGAATAGTGTCAGGTGGAATAGTGAAGCATAATCATCACATTCCATTTTTCAAGCACTAAAATGAAATTGTAACTTTGACTGAACTGGAACAAAGCAAAGGATCATGGTCTTTGTAGTTAAGTTTGCTTTACCATTCTGCTGTATCAATCAATGTGTTTTAGGCTCAGGACTTTTATATTTGACATGGAAACACAATATGATCGGACACTGAGATTCTGGCATGTCAGATCAGCAGAGTGGTTAGAATCCTTGTCTCACAAAAGAAGGCAGGTCCCGGGGCCTAAACATGGCAGCCCATTCAAGTCAAAGTGCTCAGTGGCGCATGTCTCCTGATTAGCCTAGCCCGGATTGGTACTTCTGGTGCCTCTTTGCCCATTGAACATGCGCAGTAGTGATCTTCTCTCACAAGGAGTGCAGTCTGTATGACGTGAGCAGCTAGAGCGGAGCTGGAGCTAAAGATTAAAAAGCTGTTTTTAAAACTGAAGGATTTTGAGCTGAGAAAAAAAAGTTTATGTCCCTGTCAGCTGAACACGAGCAGTTTGTGATTACATTGCGCTCTATGGGAAAATTCCTTGGGTAGGAGTCATTTTTTCACTGAAGTTCCAATGAGTGGCCACTAGTCCCACTCAAGTTACAAGCAGCAATACCCTCCCCACTTATTTGAATAGATCCATGCAAAAAAGTCCCAGGTTTGAGACCAGTGGCTTTTCTTTGCTCCATCAACTCAAAACATGCACAACAGAGAGAGTCCTCCAGCTAAGGTTGTCCTGACCAAGACTTGGGAGATGGTTCAAAATCTGAAGATGGGTCCCCTGTTTCTGACAAGGATTCCCTATCGGCATTTAAGGATGGGTCAAATGCAGAGTACCTTACCCTCAAAATCATGACAATCAGAAAGTGTCAGTATTGAAAACAAAAACCTTTTTGTGAAATCATTTTGAGTAGGGCAACAAGAGTCCCTTTCAAACCTCTAAATTGAGAGCGTACGATAACAGATGACGGCAGATCCCCTGATGATACTCAGCGAGACTCATTCCTGCCTAAAATACGCAGGTATCTGCTTTCACAGGTTTGTTTAGGCTGTGCTCTGTGGGCCTCTGCGTCTCAGGCCTGAAGACTAACATGGACATTCCTCACTGGGGTTCACAAAGCTCCAGCCCCAGATCCTACTTCTGTGTGATCTGACTCTCTCCAAGGAAACACACATCACAACATGCACTCAAAAGCTGTTTATAGCACCACTGTGTACCTTTACAGACTAAAATAAAAGCATTTATTGTATTATCAATGTTACTATTATTGCATTGAAAGGTGGGGTTGTCATGATACTAAACTTTCTGGCTACACTTTAAGGTGCACTGTGTACATTTTCTGGTGGAGAGCCAATCAACGCTTTTCTCCATGGAGATGTTATTGCTTTGTCTGGAATGTTTAACAGTATGACATTAAGCCTTTCTATCTTCATAGAGACCAAACCAGACCAAGTTACAGGTTGGAAATCAGCTGGAAAATCCCCCTGAACTGTACCCTAAATTAATCTATATACATATAAACACACGTTACAATATACCTCAACACGTTTGTTTATACACACATACAAAACAGGCAAAAACTAGTGGTCTCAAACACACACAAATTGAGTAAATACAGCATGTCAAATTACTCGAATACTAGTGGACTCAGCTTCAGTTTGGGAAGATCGGTAAAATGACACAAACAAGGCCCGGCATTTGGTCTTACTACAGTCACTTTAAATTTTAATGATATGATATATAATGCTGATTTTCTAAGTCAATACATCACAGTGCGTGACGCGGCTGACTAAAGGCCGGCGAGAACACCCCCTTTTCTGGTCACAGCAGTTACCCGTGTGCCAACCAAGAGAAGGGGGCGCCCGGAGGGGACGCTTGAGCCGGGACTTTCAAGCCAGGGGGACGTTCAAGCCGGTGTTATACAGGTCAGATCTGTGGAGAGGCAACCCCGCTCACAGTCAGAATGTACGTTTTTCTAGGTATTTTTGAGCTATAAAACCACCTGTAATTGAGTAAATATAAGGTAGTGCCGTTTAATGTCATACTGTGGAACATTTCGGGCAGAACAATGGCATATCCATCGAAACAAGCAAGTGATGGACCCTGCACCAGGAAAGTTACACAGTGCACCTTTATAATAACTTTTAATTAACTTTTAACAGTCTTGTACAAAGCCTTAATTAATAATGAACAAATTGTGTATTAAGAATGATTCAGGTTGAACAGTTAAACTTGAAATTTCTTACTTATTCAAATTAATATCCAGTTTCAGTACTACTTTTAGTGTCAGTTAGGGTTGCCAAGTATCAAAAATCACATACTGATCAATACTAAAACTAATACTGAAACAAGATACTAATTTGAGCAGGTATCAATACCTAACACATTAACAGTTTTAGTATGACTCTGAGTTTTATCAGGGAACATAAAGAAAGTACTATTATTTTGTGTATGAAAATGACAAAAAAGGAGCATATTTTATCTTCATTGTGGTATCATAATCAGTATCGTGTACTGAGACAATTCCTAGATTGAAATGTAACTAGCATGATAACAGAAATCTAGATGATTGATTTGACAACCCTACTTAACATTCATTATGAGCAGGTTTGCATCTCAACAGACCTGACTCATAACCTTTTACCAAATATTTAAATATAAAATAATAAAAATCAAAGTTAAATTTGATGATTGACAAAACTAAACAAGAGTTCTACCGTAACATTTTGCACCACACAACCTAAAAGACAATAACAGAATACTAAAGTCTAAACCAGGAGTACACCGAAGCTATAAAGGTCTTCATTTGAAATAAACAGAGCATAACTAGTTTCTCATCTACGTTTGCCAAAGGACAATTAAGGACAAAACAGAGAAAGCCCACACTTACACTGGAACTAACATTGCACAACTCCAGCACCAGTGTTTACCAGAACACTCCCAGAATAGACAGAAGCTCAGACACAAAACAAGAAACAGACTGGAAATGTGCACCACAACAAAGAGCATGATGCTGAACAAACTGACTACTGTAAAGAGAGAGAACGAGAAGGATGAGAGAAGGAAAGAGGAGGAGGAGAAATTATAGCGTTATATATAATGTTAGAGTCACCACAGCCTGCCCACGCCCACCTGCTATGAGGAGAGGAAGAGTCAATACATTCAACATAAACTGTACACTGTAAAGCCAATGCACTGATGACGAGTAACCTTTTTTGTTTTTTATTTAACCAGGGATGTCCTCAAGTGATTTGTCTGTTTTGCAGAGGTTTCCTGACTTCAGAGGACACGAGAGAAAGTCCCATGTTGTCTGAGAATCTTTTTTTTTCAAGGTAGAGGTGGGAGAGATCAACCAAAATATCAATATCCGTCTACTTACTTACTTTTCACATTCAAAAAATATATCTTTTTCATGACTATGGCAATAGTCCTAATTTTTCATCATTCTGAAATCCATGGTTAGCTGTTATCACAAGTTATCTAATGACTAGTGCATCCTGCGTCTATAGATGTGAACGGACTATCTACAGCCCTGTTTAGTTTTCAGTAATATTATGGTGAAGGTTTGGTATATTGATTCCCTAAAAAGGTGCATTGTGTAACTTTTCTGGTTGAGGGTCTGTTAAATGTTTTTCTCTATGAAGATGTTGCTGCTTTGACTGGAAGAGTTGTGTGCAAAAATATATCGTATCACTTAATGTGATGACACAGTATCGATATCATGGGCAGCTGTATCGTTATATTGTCAAGATCAGTGTTGCCTGAATATTTTTCTGGGGAGCCATATATAAAAGTCACAAATCTTTGCCACCCAAGTCAGACATTATTCGTAAATCACAAAATAAATTTGTGAGCATTACTGAACATTAATGAGGATAAATTATTGTTGACTGAGTGATCATGTCTCTCTGAACAATTAGTATTACTCTGGTTTTACATAATGACAATAAAAAACTGTAATCAGTGTTTCCCACAGAAAATTGGCTAGGCAAGGTGGTGAGTGAGTGAGGAGAGGAGGGGTATGCGGAGATTCTGTGCATGGAGAAAAAGCAAGGAGCCGGGAAGTGCATGGATCATGACAAAGCAACCCAAAAATATCTCTTGCAACCCACCTACGGGTCACGACCCAGTCTTTAGGAAACAATGGTCCATTTTTTGGTTTATTTTACTAAATTATTTTTGTTATAGTGCTACAGTTTTGTTGCTTGTTTTGTGGAAGGATGCAACGATTTAACATATTCACTGTTTTGATGAGTAAAATTGGTGTTTCATATTCACTTTGCACAAGTGTTTTAACAAAGACTTTTAGTATCACAGTCACGATTTAGTCATTACATTTTACTGAACTGTATCAAATTGACTGTATATCGTATCAAATCAAAAGTGCACTGTATCAAGTATCATATCGTAACCTATGTATTGAGGTATGTATTAATGATACCCAGCCCTAGTCTGGAATGTTTCACAGTGGCATTAAATCTTTCTATCTTCATGGAGACCAAACCAGACTAAGAAATAGGTCAGATCTGTGGAAAGGTGACCCCGCTCACAGTCAGTATTAGGGCTGTGTATCATTCAGAAGTTGCTGATACGATAAATACCTCGATACATAGGCCTCATGATGTCTCGATACAGTGAGCTTACAATTCTATACGATATATTTCAGATCGATTCGGCTGTGATACTAAAAGTCTTTGTTAAACCATTTTTTGTGCAAATTTCATATGAAACACAAACATTTTAACCCTCAAAACTGTAATATAATAATAATAATATGTCAAATATGTCACATAAAGGAGTTTCCTTCCACTAAATAAACAACAGAACTGTAGCTCTGTAACAAAATAATTTTGTAAAATATACAAAAAAAAAAAAAGTCTTGGCAGTATATCGATACAGCAGTCCACGGTATTGATACTGTATCATCACATTAAATGACATTACAATATTTTTTTACTCCCCTAGTCAGAATGCCATTTTCTATATATTTTTGAGCTATGAAACCATCTGTAATTGAATAAATGAGTAAAGTAGAGCTGTTTAATGTCACTCTGTGGAACATTCCAGGCAGAACAATAACATGTCCATATAAACAAGAAAGTGACAAACCCTCAACCAAAAAGTTACATAGTGCACCTTTAGACTTGGACTTTATTGATGCACAAAGAAAATTACTTGGACACAGTAGCTCACACATCACATTAAGGAATCAAAATTAAAAGAAAATATTTGCATATTTAAAGTTTTGGCTAGACAAGTCCCTATTGAAAACTTTAAAAAGTGGGTCACAGTCACTGGAGTCCTAATGTGTGTCAGTGTACATTAGCAGCACAATTCAGTCGTGCCTTGGACTGACCAGTGGGAGTGCTGTGAGCGCACCTGTCTGTCCCTCAGCTGCTCACAGTGTGGAGAGACACGCGCCTCTGCTCCTCTCTGTGTGTCCATAAAAAGGCACAGAGCTGCATTCTCCAGCACTATCACAACACAAGAGAGGACAGGGAGCTAACAGGAGCGCACTGAGCTGCTAACCAGAGATAAGGATGTAGATTCACTTATACACTAGGAACAAGGACTGCACAGTATACTGCAACTGTACATTATTTGCATTAACCTAAGTTGTAAACAGCACAATCAGCACAACTTGGGGTTTTATGTATAAAACCCTGCTGTGTACAGCATCAAACTCCAAATCCACTTTATTTATATATAGGGTGATAAGAATTTCAAAATAAAAAACTGTGACACCCCTGGTTTTTTAGGCAGGTTGGAGTCACCTAGTGCCTCCACTCAATTTCATTTCTCTCCAGCGACTAGGTCCAGAATAGGAATACACTAGACGGTTTTCAAGAACACCAGAAGTTGTAGACCGCAGTGAGCTGTGAAGTCATGATGTCAAACTCAAGCGTCTGTCTGGGTCCTTTTTGTGGTACAGCACAGTAAACAAAATGGTCGAGATGGATGTAGACGAAGACAGACATTCTGTGTTGGCAACAATTTCCGAGATCGAGGATTTAAAGCCGGAACAAAGAGAATATTTGATGAATTTTATCAAGGGGAAAGACGTTATTGCCCTTCTTCCTACAGGATTCGGAAAAAGCTTAATATAACAGTTAGAAAAAAATTTGCTGCCTACCATCGAGCGAACGAATCCTAATGCTGCGAGGTCAGACGCAGAAACCGGCTGATGAATCAGGCTAGGTTTGTGGTGGTTGGTAATAATCTCATTGTGAATCGAGTGTGTAATTAAGGAAAAGTGTTATTTACTTGGCCCATTCAGGACTAACATGTGTCAGTATAGTCAAGTTTTTTTGTGTTTTGGTCATTTTTAAGCAGCTTTTCTGACAAATGATAATGTATGCCTCTCTTTACTGTCAAAAATAGAGACACCTAGGGCATTTCTTGTATAAAACTGGGACAAATAACTGGTTTTGGATAAATCTGCTCAGACAGAGGACACAGGGCTCAAAACTGAGACTAGCACAATTTACAAGCAGTTTCCAAAGTGCTGCACAGAAATCTTAAAATGAAGACAACAAAAATGTAAATTGCTAAAGGTTTGATCATACCAGTCCTAAAAAAAACCCAAAACAATAAAAAGCAAATAAAAGCAAAACCATAAAAATCATAAAATAGACTTAGACAAACTATTGATCCACAAGGGAAATGACTTGGACACAGTAGCTCACTCAACATATTATATTACAATAACAAAGAGTAAAAAATTTAATAAACGTCTAAATAAGTAGCAATAAAAATAGCAAAAGACTGGTATCAATAAGACATGAGTTAAATAAATAAAATAGGTAAATAGCAATAAATAAGTAAAATACCGGATCTCCTACAGCTCCGCTCAAACAGTGAGAGATACAGGACTACGTTCATATAATGCTCCCTACAACTGTACAACAACTAACCCTAATGTAACAGATAACCCTATGTCCTGTCAGTCATCATATTGTCGCTTTGTCTTCCTATGACCTCTTGTATAAAGCTGAGATTTTATATTACTTATTTTTCTATTTTATTTTGACTTGTACATTTACAGTTATATAATTATGTCTTATTTGACACCTGTCTCTTGCTCTTTTTTGCTACTTATTTAGAATTTATTATTACCATTTATACTTTTTACTCTATTATATTGTGATGTGTGAGCTACTGTGTCCAAATATTTTCCCTTGTGGATCAATAAAGTTTGTCTAAGTCTAACATGCTCTCAAAAAACACGCTCTCAAATTTATCCTAGTATTAGTTAAGAAGTTCAGTATTTCAGTCATGTAATGCTCCTGTACCAATTTATAAAGTTCAATTTGGATTGAACTAAACTGAATAAAGGATTACTCAAATGTGTGAATAAAAAAGGTTAAAAAAACTTCAGCAGGTATTTTTGATGAGGTAACAACATTATAACATAAATTGCAAATCGAATCATAATCACAACATTTGCAATAATATTAAATTAACTTTTTCCCCAATTTATGCAGCCCAGTAAGAGGGTTACTTGGAGTATGCTGGCAAGTTGGAACTGCAGTGGATGTCAAAAGTGAAAGCTGTGGTTATTAGAAGATAAACTTTAATAATAGTCATAATAATAACCTAATGCTTTTGATTTCTATGGCACTTTTTGGACACTCAAAGACAGTGCATTATCCATTCAACCCAGACCCTGTTACAACTGTTGTGATTAATGACACAATAATAAAAAGTGAAATACTTTAATTACTTTTGTTTACTAAGTGAATTATATCTTGTATTTGATCATATAAACTAAGAAATATTGATACAAAAGCTAGAATTAGATTGGCTTATTGGATTTGAGGTTATCAAATACTTTGATAATTTTGACTTTTATTTTGCTTTTACTGATAAAATATTCTAGTAATATTGTAGTATTGTAAAACAGACCCAACCATAAAAATCAATACTATTTTATCTTAGTAAATATTAGATTAAGATCTGAACTAACTAACCAGAATCTGTTAAGTATTTTAAAAATGTTTATGATTTTTAGCTTTTGTGTGAGAAAGTCTGTACAAGTTATCATTACCGGAACAAAAAATGACCTCTTCATTTTTCTAATAATGTTGTTTGACTTATTTCAGAAGCTGATTATTAACAGACATGGTTAGACCAGATTATCCCCAAAAATCTCGCATTGAAATGCTTTTTAAATGTATTAATGTTTGTAAATATATGTCACTACTGAAACACACTTGTTACCTCAAATTCAGTTTTTTTTTTTTTTTTAAAAAAAAAACATTTTCTAGAAACATGTTTTTTTCTTTTTATTTTGTGCCTGACTAAAAATAACTATTAGTCTTCATTATGTGTATTCTTAAAAATAAATTATGCTGTCAAAAGATAATCTTAATTTAAGTTGTGACACATGTTGCGGTAATGAGACTGCCCTTACGGAAATGAAGATTGTAACTTTGATATAAATGGGTTATTACAACAAAGCCTGTTTATAGTAGGCTAAACAATGCAGACTCAAAGTTTTGACTACTTACTGTTTAATTGCTTTCAAACAGAGAAAACAAACACATAAGACCATAAGCAGGGTGTAGCCTACTGCAGATCAAGAAACGCGTCTGTTTTTAATATGTATAAATGTGTTTGTCTGTAGAGCAGCTGACTTCAATAACAAAATCCAGACAGCCGCAGTCATGACTCACTTTCACCACATCTCCGGACTGTTTTTGCGCATTATAACGCTTCAATTCGGCATTTTCTCCCACCAAATCAAATAAACAGTAACACAACGCTTGCTGATCGTGCCAAAAAAAAGTCCCATAGCCACCCACAGCGAGTATTCTGTTAGCTTCCTCCTCGTCTGTACGGTCAGCTGTCGCGAAACGAGAAGAAAACCCGACCTTCAAAGCAGTTTAACACGAGTACAAATATAGACTCACCAGAAATCGGACGCTCCTCTTGTCAATAGTGGTGTGTCCTACGCGTAATTACGCACGGGCAAAGGGTAAAATGACGGTAAAGTGAAAGTTTTGGAGCTTTTTGATTACGCCTGGCCTCCTCTGCGCCATGCTCCAGTCTGCTCCCTACTGTACTGCGCTCTCACGTGCTGTCGTAAAAATGGTCAGATGGAGAGACTGCCGCGCTGGAGGGAGAGGGTACTGCTCCATAAGTACTACAAACTTGGAGTATGACTATGGATCTGTATGGGTAAGTTACTGACGGATGTGTAAGAACTTAAAAGGGACATCGTCTGTTCTGTTATGATATTTCCTATTTCCACCTTGTGATGTCATGTCGTAACACTCTCATTAGAAATATCTGGATTATTTAAGCCCTGAAATTTTCAACTTTTACTACACTGTAAAATCTAACACTACGGTTAGCTTGCATTCAGCTCGCATACTTTACTCACAGCTACTAATTTGTGGATCTTAATGATTGTGGTCAAGTAACAGTTACTTTCAGGGTGAAAAGAGCACATTACTTGTCATTTAGATGAGTGTTTCTCAAACTTTTTTTCTGGGGACCCATATTTTAAAAGTCACAAACATTCACAACCCAAGTCAATAGACATTATTCGTAAATCACAAAATAATGGTAGATTTGAGCATTATTGAATATTAATGAGGATATTTTATTGTTGACTGGGTGATCATGTCTCTCTGAACAATTAGTATTGCTCAAGTTTTAAACAATGAAAAACAGTCATTGAAGCAGAAATAAAAGGACCCATAAGTCGCCTATTTGGACATTAAACATTTCTTTTTCTTTTCAAGATTCAATTGAACCAACAATACTGGAACAAAATAGTCAAAAAAATAATTACAAAAAGATTAGAAATGATACAAAACATGTCTTAACATTTCAATATTTCTAATGAGATAGTTGGGCCTGTCTGTGTTTTTGTAGCGTGTTCCAGTCCTGGTGCAGGAGGAGAGAACAGCAGCAGATCAGGAGCAGCATTGAGTCTGTTCCTGTGCTTTGTCTTCAATTTACACATATGTAGTAGTGAAAGGAATAAGCATAGAAACACTGACCCTACTGATGACAGGATATTCAGACAAAATGCTTATCATTGACTCACTAGCGCTCTCATGTGTCAGAACTGTATATCACAGACCTACATTCAGATCGTGACAAGGCGACCCAAAAAAACCCCTTTTGTGACCCACCTGAGGATCATGACTCAGTCTTTGGGAAACACTGATTTAGACTAAGGTCAACTTGAATTAGACGAGTAACTTCAACAGTGATGTATTATTGCCAAGAGTCCAGCTCCATTTCCCAGTCTGTTCCTCTCCTCCTTTTGCTTCCTCCCTGTTTTTCCTACAGATGCCACTCATTCCCTGATCCTCCCAGAGCGTCTCTATATCCTCCCTCTGTTCATTCAGTCTCTATATCCTCCCTCTGTTCATCCAGTCTCTATATCCTCCCTCTGTTCATCCAGTCTCTATATCCTCCCTCTGTTCATCCAGTCTCTATATCCTCCCTCTGTTCGTTCAGTCTCTATATCCTCCCTCTGTTCTCTCTATATCCTCCCTCTGTTCATCAGTCCTCCTCTCTGTTCATAGTTCCTCCTCCAGTCTCTATATCCTCCCTCTGTTCATCGTTCATATCCTCTCTGTTCATCTATATCCTCCCTCTGTTCGTTCAGTCTCTATATCCTCCCTCTGTTCATTCAGTCTCTATATCCTCCCTCTGTTCTCTCTATTCCTCTGTTCAGTCTCTATATCCTCCCTCTGTTCGTTCAGTCGCTATATCCTCCCTCTATTCATCCAGTCTCTATATCCTCCCTCTGTTTGTCCAGTCTCTATATCCTCCCTCTGTTCATTCAGTCTCTATATCCTCCCTCTGTTCGTTCAGTCTCTATATCCTCCTTCTGTTCGTTCAGTCTCTATATCCTCCCTCTGTTCGTCCAGTCTCTATATCCTCCCTCTGTTTATCCAGTCTCTATATCCTCCCTCTGTTCGTCCAGTCTCTATATCCTCCCTCTGTTTATCCAGTCTCTATATCCTCCCTCTGTTCGTCCAGTCTCTATATCCTCCCTCTGTTTATCCAGTCTCTATATCCTCCCTCTGTTCATTTATTCTTTGCCAGGTTAAACCTGTTCTCCTGTTTTGTTTCTTCCAGTATTTTTTGAGCCCTAAGTGCGGGGGTCTTGGTTGAGTTGACATGGAATGACTGAGCTGTGTTACTTTATTGTTACACATGTTACGAAGTGTTTTGAAGCTGAACAAAAGTTGTGCTACGTTTTTTTTTCAAAGACTAATAAATATTCAAATCCTTGTACCTGATGCAGATCTACGTGACATTATTGTAGAATAGAACCTGTTTTTACTCTAACTTGTGTATAGAAGTAACATTTATTTGTTCAGTTCAAGGCAATCAGTTTCCATGGTTTTACCAAGTAAGATGAACTTCCTCTTACAGTGAAGGTTACTACATATTGCAGTTTTGAGAAAGTGACTGATTTGTTGTCACAGCTTCATAACATGAATTCTGTGAATGAAAACTAAAGTTCACTTCACATGCTGTGCCTGGTAAGATGAAAGAGGAGTTTACTGTACACCACACTGAAGAATTACTCGTAAGCTCATCTTTAGATTCACACTCCACTTTAGTCAGATTTTTCAAGATAATCTATTTCCTAGACTTTTTCAAGTAAGGTCTACGTATTAGATTTTACAGTGTGAGCTTGACGTAAATACCATACCATACCATTCCAAATAAATTTTATTTATAGAGCACTTCACAGCTGGCCAAAGTGCTGTACACAAACACAGGATAGACAAGGATAATTGCAGTACAAGAAAATACACAATACAAACACAATAGAACTACTAAGAACAGAAAACTCAACAACAAGAAATGTCACTTGTTAAAAGAAATAGTATCTATTAATTTGAAAACTACAGCTTCATAACATCCATAGACTGTATAAAAGAATATATACGGTCTATGATAACATCACAAGGTGGAACCATAGACTGTATCTATAAATGGACACAGGAAGTGTTCATGGAGGGGCTTCTGGCTCCATCTAACCCAGGCTTCAACTTACCCACAGTTGAATATTGTCGCCACTCTCTCTGTGACGGCTGCTGTGAGCCTCGTCATTTCCGTCTTAAAATGTTCGTATTAAGACACTCTATGTGATTCTGGGGTTTTTATTTTGCGACTTTAAAATGGAACTCTGCTACAAAGTCTCACTGCTTTAGTTCACTTCTTTACACTGTTTATGGGTGGAACAGAGCATTTTAAGCTTGGAATGATGCAAGATTAATCAAACATTTGTGAATAAAACAAAACACAACCCCAACAAGTCTGTTTTTGAAGAGGTCACAAGATTATAATATAATTTAAAGCTCACAAGAGTGCATTTTGTGAACTATAGAACTTGTAAAATGTCTGCTTATAGTGTACATTCATACTGCTGCTGCTTCACCTTCTCACTCCCGTTGTGGAGACTACTCCCTGTGCCTCACTTTGAACATGCTTTGACTGTTAATTGTGCTTTAGCTGATAAAACAAAGACATGAATTTGCATACTTAATGTCCTGGGACTCATATACAGCCCATTATAACTTAACCCCGGTGTCCACACGTCCCAAGTGAGCACAGGGGAATGGGTTTGCATATTAGTCCACTTATTCAAATGGCCTCACGGTTTATGTCAATGTCAATGTCAATGTCAACTTTATTTGTATAGCACATTTACAACAACACAAGCTGCCCAAAGTGCTTCACATGCACAATAAAGATAGTAAAATACAGCACAATAAATATGAAAAATATATCTATATAATAATAAAACAAACAAACAAAACAAAAAAATTAAACATAGCTTATAAAACATTTAATTAGAGTTAAAAGCCGCAGCAAAGAAATGTGTCTTAAGATCAGATTTAAAAATCTCCAGTGATGGAGCAGCTCGAACGTGGAGAGGCAGATTGTTCCATAACTTGGGGGCAGCCACAGCAAAGGCCCTGTCACCCCGAGTTTTCAAACATGACTTTGGGACATTTAATAGCAAACCGCTTTCTGACCTGAGGGGTCTGATTGGAACATAGCGCGATAACAGCTCAGACAGATACTCAGGAGCCAGGCCATTCAGGGATTTAAAAACAAATATTAGAATTTTAAAATTAATCCTGAAAGGAACAGGAAGCCAGTGGAGAGAGGCCAGTACAGGTGTGATATGCTCTCTCTTTCTTGTCCCTGTTACTAAACGAGCTGCAGCATTCTGGACTTGTTGTAAGCGCTGTAAGGAGAGCTGGTCTAGTCCACAATACAGCGAATTACAGTAATCCAGACGAGACATTATAAACAAGTGAATAAGTCGTTCAAAGTCACTGGCTGGAAGGTAAGCCTTCACTTTACTCAGTATTCTGAGCTGGTAGAAGCTGGCCTTTACCACAGAGGTTATTTGTTTGTCCATTTTGAACAAATTGTCAAAGAATACTCCAAGGTCTCTGACAGAGGAATTCACAAAAGGAGACAGTGCGCCAAGGTTGTGATGTAAACCAGTGGAGGATTTAGGATTAAAAACCACAATTTCTGTCTTCTTCTCATTAAAAATTAAGAAGTTTTGGGCTAGCCATGATTTCACTTCCTCTAAACAATAGGACAAGCTACTAATGGAGCCAGGGGCAGGTGATAAGGGCAAATAGATTTGCAGGTCGTCAGCGTAAAAATGATAAGACACATTGTGTTTTCTAAGAACTGAGCCTAGAGGCAACAAATAAAGAGAAAATAATGCAGGACCTAGAATAGATCCTTGTGGAACACCGCAGGTAAGTGGAGCAGAGTTAGATTTATGGGGGCCAAGATGTACTGACAAACATCTGTCTGTGAGATAAGATTTAAACCAGTTAAGTGCTGTGCCTTTAAAACCTGCATATTGTTCCAAGCGGAGAGTAAAATACAGTGGTCAACAGTATCAAAAGCAGCAGACAAATCTAAAAGAACTAAAATCACAGAGCAACCAGAGTCAACAGTTAAAAGAAGATCATTAAAAACGCGCAGAAGTGCTGTTTCTGTGCTATGAAGTGATTTAAAGCCAGACTGAAACTTTTTAGTTTAGGTTTAGTC